GATTACACTGCTTGCAACACAATCTGTGAATGGAGGAAAGTCCTAACAGTCACAGGATTCTCTCCCCCATCCACATATTGTTACACAAGAAAGAACTTTTCTCAGTGGAGGAGGCAGAAAGGGGGAGGACGTGTCCTCATCTGACCATCTGTACTGCTGTTCTGTCTGAAGACCCAAAGCTGTTAACCATTGCAGTACCAAAAGTTCAAAGAGAAAGAAGAGGACAGGCATCCCTGCAGTGAAGATTTCTCCAGGATACAGCTGCCTGCACAGCACGGGACATATTCCATTACAGCTAAGTGATGTAACTAAAGATGTAGGTATTTTTTTAAAGCTAAATCTCACCTATAAAAAAGGCAATGTAGACGGGTATGACAACGTGCCACATGTAGGAGACCTTAGCCATCAATCATAAATAACTTATCTGATTACAGCAAGATGGAAATGAGCAATTATGACGTGCTGCACTTTGCGCATCATATTTGCGCTTTGTGCTGCTCTAATGGAATGGACCTACAGTGTGTGGTGAGGGTCACAGGCTTCTGACACTGATGGAGGCTGCAGAATGAAACAAAGGCAGGTAAGATATACAGGCTGCTGGAGAGGTGAGCATACCACCTTTTTTCTTATAGGGAGCTGGTATTTGGATTCATTTAGGGCAAAGAACGTCTGTTTAAAGTAAACCTGCTGCTTGGCCCTGCAGGGACACAGTGCTGATTTGCTTTACATTTCACACTTATAACACAATTTATGGTAATTGACTGAAAAATAAGTTTAATGTCTGCCTCCTTACTCTAAAGCAATATGGATACCGCAGCATGACTGGATAGCCGTCATTTAAGAAAATATTCTAAAGAACATTTTAAGGCTCCATGTACACGCGACATTTGGAAAACACTTCTGAACGATGGAAACTGATTGCTGGAAACCGTAGGTTAAAAAATGTCTGTTTAGCCGCGTTTGCATACCGCGTTTATGACGTTTGAGCATTTAGAAGAGTTTTTTTAAAGATAACCTCTGGAGACCTTCCAAAATGCCCAGAATGTACTGATAAACAGTAAAAAATTTACTATTTCAGACATTTTGAGAGAAAGAGAGCAGAAGCAGAGAGAGCAGTATTTGTTGAGATTAGCTGTCTTTTTTTGTGGTGTTTGGATGTGTTTCCAGCCAGGGGCAGACTGACAACTCATGGGGCCCCCGGGCAATAGGGGATCATGGGGCCTCTGTGTCCTTGCCCAAACTCAAAAAAGCCTATGAAAAAGTTACCAGGAGCATCTCATGGGGCCCCCTACTGACCCCAGGCCCTCGGGCAGTGCCCAAGTTTCCAAATGGTCAGTCTGCCCCTGGTTCCAGCTCATTTCTGTGCAGACATTATTGCAGCAGTGTCTAATATATTTTCTTTCATGCGAAACCTCAGAGTATGGTGTACCAGGTCCATTTGAGTACCAGGAAAACGCTTTGCATGCATTTTTCATGATGATAAAAGGCTCTGAACAGCATCTGGAAATGGAAGAGTTAAAAAAAGTTCCATACGCTTATAAATGCAGTTAGCCGCGTTTACACTAGTTTACAAGCGTTTGGAACATTGATAAAATCTACTCCTGAATGCAAGTTCGGTACGTTCAAAAAAAAAACGACTGTAAACTCAACTGCCTGTAAACGACATAGTGTACATGGACACATAGGAAAACATTAGGGAGAGTTCAGGGGCTGCTGAAAAAAAATGCAGAAAAGCTCCTGAATGTGAGTTTATCAACTGCAATGTACATGGAGCCTAAGAGTGTATCCAGGAAAAAAAAATTTTAGTTTATGAGGATAAATGGTTGTTCAAAAATGGTTTTCAGTAAGTTTCCAGAAACATAGAATGTAACACAATACAGCCGGACAGCAGAAAAACTAGTCCTATGAGATCAGTAGGCGGTTCTGGAATTTGGGGTCTTTCCTGCATGGGGTTTTCCATAAAACAATAAATCTGCAGTTCAAGTCTAAGATGCTATATTTTGACCATAGTGATCAATTGATGGCAAGGCCGGTATAAGGGATTTTTGCAAGACTAGGGGGAATTCCAAAATAATGTGATAACAGTGCAAGAACAGCGGAAACGTGTCTCATATTGCAGTGCAGCTTCTACAAAACCAAATATATATTATATGAGATACACATCAGACAATTCTACAGTTCTAATCATTGCAATGTTATTATTGCAGACTTAAAGCTCAATTAGGCCGTTCTTTTTCTGTAATGTAATATGGCCGTATAAAACACTGTTTTTTTTTATTTTTTGCATTAACTAGTATGCTGAAGGCTTTGTTAAAATAACTTGTGATGGCAAAACTCTGGAGACCTGGATCACTGCTCATAGAGAGCAGAGGGGTCCAAAATTCCAATGGTCCATCGTGCCCCCTGCACAGAGTTCCAATGAAAAATGCTGCTCAGGGAATGTGCAAATGCATTAAATCACAGACAAAATGCACAACAGCTGCATTTCTGTGGAATTACCAATCATTTCAATTGACCTTTTAATATATGTATAGAGAAATGTTCCTATTTTTTAAAAACATGATAAGCTGCAATGTACATGGTGGACAGATGTGACCTAGCCCCATAGTAGTGAATGGGAATTCTACCTTAAATGGATTGTCCCCAGGGGCAGACTGACCATTTAGGCACTCGGGCACTGCCCAAGGGCCCGGGGTCAGAAGGGAGCCCCATGAGATGCCCCTGGTACCTTTCACAGGCTTTTTTAGGTGCGGTTTGAGTGTGGGCGAGGACACAGGGACCCCATGATCCCCAATTGCCCGGGGGGCCCCATGAGTTGTCAGTCCGCCCGATTGTCCCCACACTAATGTTACTGGCCATGCGCTAGTAGAATTTGGTTCGAAACGTTTTCAGAACGTTTGATAATCTGGTGGTTCGTGGGGTCAAATCAACATTTGTTTTCAACCGTAGTGATGAGTAAATTCAAAGGAGCAGCATGGAAATGTTTTCATGAACCAGCAAATTTCTAACAGTGTATGTGATTTTCATTCATACTATTCATACCAGAATCAAATTTTAAAAGCAAATGAAATTTTGAAGTACTTTCTATTGACATTCATCAAGTCTCTTGGCATTATCGAATGTACTACCAGTGTATGACCGTCTTAGTAGTATTGATAGTCCTGATGGATCTTACACGGAATGTAACCTCTGATTATTTTATATCATATGATCAGTTTAAATTGTCCAGCTTTGTTAACGTTTTATTTTATTAATTTATGAATGAATGTTGAGCTGAAGATCTTTGTTGATGCTGAACTCTGAGCAGATACAAAAGACAATAATGCAGCTCTGTAGTCATAATTACATGTTTTTTAGCAGTGACTGTAAGAGCCTGAATCTACTTGGTATCAACCTCTTGCAGTCCCTGTGAGAGCAAGAAGCAGCACAAGGAGCCAAATAATGTGCTGATTAGGAGCATGCTGATAGGAGGAGAGAGCAAAATGACAGACACTTGAGCTCATTACTGTGCTGGGTGCTCTTCACTGCTCAATCACATACTAGGTCATTGATGGCCAGGACTCAGAGAAAGTGGGTTGAATGATTGCTGGCTGTTTTATAGCCCAGAAGACTGTGGACATCTGTTAAAAGAAAAGAAGTAATGCAGGAGAAAGCTCTGGATTCAGGGCCCTTTAAAACTATTGCATTGCGCATACGTGCCTTGTGGTGCTATTCCTTTTGAACGACAACCCAGTGTACCTTCACAATACAGCTGCACAGTACATTGCAAGCAGGGGCAGTGTTTCCATTAGACAAACTAGGCGGCCGCCTAGGGCACACTGCCACCTAGTGGTGCCTGGGTACAGCACAGGCCTGCACTCTCTCTCTGTGTGGGACGCCCTGACACATGTGGGACGCCCTGACATCCTAAGTGATCCTCCAGCTCAGAGGAGTGGTGGCAGAGGGGAGGAAGGAAGGACAGAGGAAGATTCTGGGTGTCTGGGGTTGGTGTAGCAGCCTAGCTTCAGCTCCTTCTAGTGTTCCTCTCAGACGCAGTCCCTTACTGCAAGTCAGCTGGCGGGTGCTGATCACTGTGGACTTCCAGCCCTTCTCTTCCCATTCATCCAGCGGAGGCAGAGCTGTGCCTGTGGAGCAAGGTAATGTCTGACTCTGATGTCTCGTGTGTGTGAGTGTGACCTGGCCGGGACATCCATCACATGTGCAATGTGTCAATGTGTGTGTGTGACATCACGGTCCCACAGCCTGCTCTTCTAGTACCTGCTGGGCCTGCTGATCTGTGTCAGTGTTGGTGGTGGTGTGGTGTGTTGTGTCGGATCTGTCATTGTGGGGGATTATCTTCCCCTCCCCCCCATTGCCTAGGGAATTCCAGCCTAGGATCTGTCAGTGTGGATCCATCATCCTCCACTCACTGCAACTGTCACCCTGCCACTGCCAGCCACAGATACAGTCCGTCCGTGACACTGATTTTTGTCTTTAATATTAGTGCTGGTGGCATCTTATGGCACTTATTTTTGCAAACTAAAAGAAATTTAGCAGTTTCATGTTTTGCGGATTTAATATTTTCTACGGTTTTTAAAAAATTGTATTTATTTTTTTAAATTTTGTATTTATTTATTTTTATAGGGGGGAACCCAAGTAGCTGGTCTTGCCTAGGGTGCAAAACAGCCTAGCAGTGGCCCTGACTGCAAGCATCTGTCAGACAGGTTCAGAGCATTTCATTTTGATTGTCACGCAGCAACACGATTATAATCAGGTCAGTTAGGATCAGGGGCGGACTGACCATTTCGAAACTCGGCACTGCCCGGGGGCCTGGGATCAGTAGGGGGCCCCATGAGATGCCCCTGGTACCTTTTTCATAGGCTTTTTTGAGTTTGGGCAAGAACACAGGGGCCCCATGATCCCCTATTGCCCGGGGGCCCCATGAGTTGTCAGTCTGCCCCTGGTTAGGATCACATAACAAACAAAGATCAGATGTCAGTCTACCCTTGTCTGTTAATTACCTCAATACAATGGTGCAGGGACTTCTCATAAGCATCCTTAAACTCTTTGCGAATGTTAAACAGGTCAGTTTCACTTCTGGATATCAGGATTCTGGTCAGCGCCCGTTCATCTGTCCCCGCCCCCTGTAGAGAGAACAAGAGTAAGCACACAAGTAAGCATTCACAGGTGGGAAAAAACAGAGGTCCCATGTGTGTCTGTTAACTAAATATGTTTATATTATCTCTATACCCATTGGGGTTGATTTACTGAAGGAGCAGAGGTCACTATCGACCGAGGCTGTTCCTTTAGTAGATGGAGGGGCATTCTGTCTGCTCAAGTTTTGATAAATGCACACCAGTGTATATACCAAACAGCAATTAATGTAATGTAAACAATTAGGAAAAGTTAAACGCATTAAAGTGGTAGTAAAAGTCGATAAGAAAAAAAAAATCCCCTGAAAAGGTAAAGGCATCGCATATTAGCACATTATGCAAAACCTACCTGAAAGCAAAGCCCTCCAGTGGCGTGCTGTCACCACTGTAAAGGCTTCCACCTTCACCCGGTCTTCCTTCCGAGTTCACGAGCTCCGGTCATTAACTGACTGAGCCACAATGATGTCACTTCTGCATATGTGAACGGGATTCTCGAGACGTGGCACAGTGCTCTGAAGGAACGGCATGGGTATGCCTTTCCTTCAGAGCGCATGAGCCAGCTGTGAAAGAAAACAGATTATCTTCTGAACGGTCCACATTTAGGAGATATTCATTTTACCTACAGGTAAGCATTATTATAAGCTTATCTGTAGGCAGAAATTAACAAACTGGCCACTTTAAGTGGCCACTACCACTTTAAGGCAAAATACAAGCGCCCAATCAAAATGTGCCTTTTGTTGGTTTAACAACAGTAATCCAAAGTCAGGGATGACTCACCAGAGCTAGTGAAGGTGTGCTTTAAGTTTATAGATTATTAAATTGATATTTTTATATCTGTCTTTTTACCAAATGTCTAATACAAGGGATTATTAGAGCAGTATAGGCTAGCTAAAGAGTAGTAGATGCTCGTATTTTGTCTAGTTTGTCTGAATGAAAAACTCTGCCTTTGACTGTAGGTGTGTAAATATCATCTTGAGCTACTGAACTCTGTGTACAACTGTATTTTTACAACAGGATGAAAGCAGAGAAACATTAAAAGCTTCACCTTCACCTGAATAAAAAACAATGTTTTTTCATTTAGTTTAGACCAGGGGTCTCCAAACTTTCTAAACAAAGGGCCAGTTTACGGTCCTTCAGACTTTAGGGGGGCTATTGGGAGTTGAAATTGTCCTGGTGCCAGTGGGAATAAACAATGCATTTTTGGTATTAAGGGGAGGAATAGTGCCCCATTGCTGGTGTCAGTGGGAGGAATAGTGCCCTGTGGTTGGTGTCAGTGGGAGAAAAAGGGCCCCATTGTTGGTGTCATTGTAGGTAAGTATGCATCTGTAGGGACGGAGGAGTGGATTACTTTAGGTCAGTGCAAAGGGGCATACAGAATACGTGCATTTTGCTGCAGCAGTGCAGTATTGTCGCTGCGTCATGCAACAGGAAACTGCATTAAGTGTACTTCACTGGCAGGATCTATGGGTAACTGTGGGACTTTGCAGGAGAACAAAGCAAAAACTAAGTGCAGTTGCAATTTGAGTTTAATTCCGCAGCACCTATTTCTTAACTAGAGGCCATAGTTCTACTTTAAAGAGTCAGTTCTTCCAAAACAGATATTTCTGACTCTGGTCGGGGCTAGAAAACAAAACCACCTGACAGTTTCTTATATGTTTTAGAGTTTCTGGGTCTTTGCAGCTGCTAAGGCCATGTTAGATTTGTTATTTAATTGATTTTATGGAGAATGCAGCAAGAAGGGCTACAATAGACACAGGAATCAAAAACGTCTAAGTGGACAGGAACAGAATCAAGGACTATGGCAGGGCAATGACACTGTTGAAGGATATAGGCACTGAAGTCAGAGGCTGACTTCGACTACCAGGCGCCACCAATAATTAAATGATCTCACTTAGATGGACTGGCCCTTAAGCCTCATGCACAAAAGGCGTTTTGGCAGCCACTTTTAGGGGTGTCAGGCTTACCTACAGGTAAGTGTTATTATAAGCTTACCCGTAGCAGATATTATGCCCCATTGTAGTTTTTTTTGCTGCTTCCATACAGCCCTTCATATTATCCTATGTGTCCATTTTTTACATTTTTAGAAGCTTTTAGTAGCAGTAGCATTCACCAGCAGGAAAAGAAAACCCAGGGCCAGTGCGTCCAGGAGCAGCAGCGTTTTGGCAGGAAAAATGCTTGATGCCTCTAAACGTGGCTACATGCGGCTAAATGCTAGGCATGTTTAGCATTTGAGCGTTCATTCATTTCAATGGCCAGAATAAATTATTATTCTGGCCATTTAAATTAATTTACGCCCATTCGCTTGACACTGCTAAAAGCGCCTAAATGCTTGTAAAAGCGTTAGATACTTTTACAAGTGTCAGGCGTTTTTCTGCAAAAATGCTGCTGCAAGGAGGACAGCTTCTAGGAGAGTTTTTTTCAACATCCAGTGTGCATGAGACCTTTAAAAACAGGCAGTGGCGTCCCTAGGGGGGTGCAGGCCGCACCGGGTGACACCATCACAGGGGGTGCAGGAGCAGGATGCCAGCAAAGCTTCTGGGCTCTGTGAAGGTCCTGGCCAGTTATTGGGGTGATCCCGGATTCCCGGCACGGTGACAGCTGGTCCCGCGGATCACTATGGGTTGCAAGATCAGTTAACTCCATATAGGTTCAACCTATACGGGGTTAACTGATCTTGCAATCCATAGTAATCCGTGGGATCAGCTTCAGCGGTTTGCAGCCTGTAAGGGGTTAACTGTCGGAGATCGGCTTCTTCGGCCTGAAACCGGTACATGCACAGTTGCTTCAGGAGATACATATCTTCATGAGATACTCGTTTTACCACTACACTGACACCGCTCCTTCCTCTCTGGAGGGGTGACACCACGTGTTACCGCATCGTGTGACACCAACCCTAGGGACGCCTCTGAAAACATGGATGGGAAGGAAGAAGGTAAGTTAACCTTAAATTTAGGCTACACACAGGACAGACGGAGAGGGAGGATGGTAGTTTAAACTAAGGTTTGTGGTGTTAAAGGCTGAGAGACATTACAGATGAGGGGACAATGACAGGTACTTTGGTCGCTTGGTTTGGAGGTTGTAGGTATTCCATGGTAATTCCTACCTTCATAGCCTTATAGAGGCGCTCTGCAAAAAAGCCGGGTTTATTCTTCACACTCCGTACTGGTAAGAGAAAAGAGAAAAGTAATGGTAGATAAAGTTTAAGAGTTTGTTTCTTGGATAAGATATTAAAAACAGAACCCACAGCAATTCACACAACAAATACCACACTGCAAAAACACTGAAGGAAACTCAGCAACTTACTCCAAGTCTACAGATATATTTTACAAAATGTAACAGGTGAAAAGTACCCACTAAACCATTTTAGCTACTAGCTTACTATAATTGACCAATATAGATAACTAAGGGAAACTATAATGGTTTTAGGATCACAGACTGTTTATTGCGGGAACAGACAGGAATACAAACTGACAGGTGTTCTAATGCCTAGAATACCAAAACTAAAAAAAAGTTTTGCCTTTAGTTATACTTTATGGCAGACATCTCATTGTAATGCATCGTGTTGCCAATACTCACCAATAGCTACAAAGGCATCTTTGACGTCACCTGACATTTCTTTCTTTATGGTATGCTCAACATCATGGTTGGACTGCTTGATAAACTCCTGGAAGACTGTAGTAGAAAGACAGGGGTTAGTGGAAAAGACACCGACCAGCAGCACCTAAAACCAGAAACAGTTAAAGAGATCCTGCCACCTCAATACACGAATTGCAGGTAATAGCACAGAACATTTGTAATTGCTTCCTTTCCATAACTATGTTTATATTCACTTGTAAATTTGCCTTTTAACTTTACCGCTTCAGAAATTTCCCTAGCACAGCCCTTCCCTCCTTGCTTCATATAGACCTCTCCTCTTCTGGGAGTGTCTAATTACTCTCTGTGCTGGCCCAGCTCCTCCACCCCCCTCCCTCACTCCATAACTGTGAGGTAGCTGCCAGGAAGGAGCATGAAATGACTATGTCCTGCAGGGCTTATTAGCTTAATCTCTAGATCTGAACTCTAGGTCCATGACGTGGTTTTTAGTGATGTCTGTAACAGTTTGTTTTAGTGATCACTGAAGAAAGTTATACAATGTAACATTGTTGCAGCTGTTACTTTGCAGGCTTTTCTTGTGATCTGCTTGGCAACTTATTTTGCATAGAGTACAGACAGCATACAAAAAAAGATTTTTGTAAAATAACATTCTCTCCTATTTACCGCCCAAACACTTACCTGAGTCCCTCAATCCTTCGCTGTCCCATCTGCATCTCCTTCACTCTCCTCTCACAGGAGACTCATTGGCTCCTGCTGCTGTCAGTCAAATCCTGTGCGGAGGGAATGGGGGCTGAGCCGCGGTGTGTGTGTATTGATGCACATAGCCTGGCTTGGGAGCCTGCACTGTGCCCTCCTAGCACATGGCTTGCTATGGGAACATATGCAGGAGGAAAGGAGAGCATTGGCGGGGGACTCCAGAAGGGGAGGTAAGGGGCCACTCTGTGCAATACCATTGCACAGAGCAGGTAAGTATATCATGTATATCAGGGGTAGGCAACCTTAAAGTGGAGTTCCAGCTGAAAAAAATAAATAAAAAGCTGCTACAAAAACTCTAGCTACTGACTTTTAAAGTACAAACACTTAGCTGTCCCTCGGTCCACTGGTTTCACCGGACGTGTTCTCTCCCTGGTGCCGGCATCTTCAGTGTGGGCACCCAGCTGTGACAGTTTGCGGCTTCATAGCCAGGTGCCCACTGCGCATGCGTGAGTAGTGCTGTGCTTTGTGAATGGCCCCGTAGTCTTCTGGGACCTGTCATGTGACCCAGAAGACTACAGAGAGAAAGAAGGAGAGGACAACTTTGCAGCGGAAGTGGGAGCTGGTACCTGTCAAATTCAGGTACCCGCTCCTCAAATGTGCCAATCCTTAATGGGGAGCGGGGGACAGAGGCTTAAAGCGGAACTTCCCCTTTTGGGTGGAGCTGTGCTTTAAAGCGGTGGAGATCTACCTGACCGTGGGAGAAGTCAAAGATCACCGGGCACAGTGTCACCTCCTCACACCCAATTTAAAACTCTAATTGCCATACCACAGTGTTGCAATTGCATGCATTGCACGGCAATCAAGAGTTTAAATTGGGTGGTGAGGAGGCAACATGTCAAACACACTCAGATCACTTTTCCTGATGCACTTGTGAATGAGCCCTTAGCTGCATTCTTCATGTTGCTCCTGCTGCCACATCAGGAATTAAACCCTCTGTTGGTTTTGGTGGGTGCTACCGCCTGCCAATCATGACCCATTCAAGAAAATGGGTGCCACTCTGCAAGTGCCCCACAACTGCATGCTTCTGCAGGGTCCGAGGGGTTATAGCAGGTGTGAGAAAGCAACACAACGCTGCTTGCTTTAACCCCTTGTTTGCTGTACTGTACAAGGTTGCAGGGCACTTGCAGAGCGGCCTCATTTATTTGAATGGGTCATGCTTGACAGGTGCTACAACCACTAACCCTGACAGGGCATTTAAGTTATGGTGCGGCTGCGACATGTGTACACCTCTGGCCACTACAGCTAAAGGGGGTGCGGTTGGGGAAGGAGGTGGTAAAAACACGAGTTAACTATGGGGTTTTACCACCCCCCAAACTGCAAATATAAATGAACCCCTACTGTTCTGAACCGCCTAAATGGCTGCTTTCACACTGATGTGCTGCAGTTTACCTGCATTGCGGGTCCAGCACTGTACATCTGCGACTTTCCTGGGTTATCTGTGCTTTGCCATAGACTTCAATTACATCCTACAGCTGTGGTGCACTTTCTGAAAGTGCACCAAAACTCCTAGATGCATTAAGGTGAAAAACCTTTACACTTTAGGATCACCTTAATGCAGCTGTGTATTACTTTAAAATAATGAAGTATATTTTATGTACAACTAGATAGGTGCCTGACCCAATCTTGTCATCAATCTCCCTTTACTTTCTGTACAAAAGGGTTCATACTGGGAGAGAGAGGGGCAGCACCAGGTGCCAATCAGGCTTGGCTGCATGCACATCTGCTTACAGGAAACATGCTGACAGGAGGAGAAAGCTGAGTTGATTAGGTATCATCTAGTCAACAAGCTCCAATTCAGCAAGTGACACCACTGTATTCTGTAACTATAACAGAAAATGGTGTCACCTACCTGACTGTGCTATCTGGCAGAGGTGTATGAACTGAAAAGATGATGTGCAGAAATCCGAATCCTTTAATAGATACACGAGTTTATATACGTGTAATTCAACTGTTCATGTAACTGTTTGCCTGAAGTTCACCTTTAGGCTCCATGTACACGGGACACTTCTGAATGATGGAAACTGACTGCTGGAAAACGTAGGTTAAAAAAAGTCTGTTTAGCCGTGTTTGCATACTGCGTTTATGAGCGTTTGCATTTAGAAGCGTTTTTAAAGATAACCTCAGGAGACCTTCCAAAATGCCCAGAATGTACTGAAAAACAGTAAACAATTTACTATTTCAGACATTTTGAGAGAAATAGAGAGAGCAGAAGCAGAGAGAGCAGTATTTGTTTAGATTAGCTGTCTTTTTTTTTTTTTTTGTGATGTTTGTATGTGTTGCAGCTCATTTCTGTGCAGAAATTATTGCAGCAGTGCTTAACATTTTCTTTCATGCGAAACCTCAAAGTATTGTGTACCAGGTCCATTTGTGTACCGGGAGAACGCTTTGTATGCATTTTTCATGATGAATAAAGGCTCTGGATAGCATCTGGAAATGGAAGAGTTGAAAAAATTTTCCACATGCAAACGCTTAGAAACGCAGTTAGCTGCGGTTGAAACGCTGATAAAATCTACTCCTGAACGCAAGTTTGGTGCGTTAAAAAAAAAAACGACTGTAAACTCAACTGCCTGTAAACAACATAGTGTACATGGACACATAGGAAAACATTAGGGTGAGTTCAGGGGCTGCTGAAAAAAATGCAGAAAAGCTCCTAAACGTGAGATTATCAGCTGCAGTGTACATGAAGCCTTACGATGAAGGTGGAAATTCAGCAAAGGAAACTGGAGCCAGTTTTTTGCATCAGACAAGAAGCTGGGTCAACGCTCACCTCTTCTTAGATGTGGGTAGCTGCGAGTACACAGAATGGTCATAAAACGGGTTTCTAAGGAGGAAGAGTCACCAGATCCTGAATCTGCCACTTCCTGCAAGGTCAAGCATCAAGCCACAAACGACAGAAAGAGAGACACACACATAGGAGGGTCAGTATAATGGAAAATGTTATACCAGCAATTGTAATGTGAACATTTTGGTTAAATAAGGGACAAAAAGTGACAGAGATATGATAATTATACAAAAGTCATTCTTTGAAGCCAACCTGTTGCTTTGCTCTGCATGGAAAGAAATATAAAGACTGACCTAAAGTAAGAATAAAGATCTTCCCTAAAATCTTAGTCTCCTGGCTGTCATGTTAATGCTTTGGTTTTCATACTTTCTAAGTCACTAATCCCATATATAGAAACACCAGATTCAGTCTTGTTTCAACTTTCCTTTGCTGCATGTTTGTTCAAGATCTGCAATTCAGAAGTTTTGAATGTGAACTATATTAAGACTTGGAGTGCCACTCAGAGGGTCCCTCTGGTCCTTAGAGATAGGGGTGTCGGCATGGACATACACTCATCCAGCAGTGATATATTCTTGTGTGAGAAAACAGCCGCACTCCCAATCCAACCAAAATGTGAGTATCAGTGTGAAATTGCCTCAGACAGCTCTCCTTTGCAGGCCACGGGTTGATGCATTTCACCGTGGTGAAATGCGTCAGCGGGCATGGCCTGTGAAGGAGAGCTGTCTGAGGGAATTTCACACTGATACTCACTTTCCGGTTGGACTGAGGGCGAGACTGTTTTCTCACACAAGAATATATCACAGTCAGAAGTATTGAAGCTAAACAACCATATGAGAATTTTCAGAGAGAGAGGACAACAGAGGCACATTTAAAGAGGGACCATTGTTTCTTCCTTGAAAGAGGCACTTTTAAGAGATACTGTCACTTTACCCAATCAGGGCAGGGTGATAGCGTCTCTACAAAGACCCCTCTGTCCACTGATACTCATCTCTCCAACAATCCCACAATGCTTCTTCCTCTATCCCAGCTGGCAATAATAGCTGGTGCTACCAGGTATGAAGGAGCATATCAACTCCACTCAAGCAACAGTGTTTGGACCAAGTGGCAAATATCTAGCCATCACTTGATTGAATGAGTGACGTTCCTCTAGGCTCTAACAACAGTAGAAACTGGGCATTTTGGTGTCAACTGCTGCAAAGAAAGGTGAGAGATCAATGAAGAGGTGCAGATCAGTGGGTCATTGTGGTGGGAAGGTAGACCTTCCCACCACAGTGGGTCAGTAGACCTTTTCACAGACTCTACCTTTGACCTGAATGGGCAAGATTACATTGTCTCTATAATAATATAGCAGCCCTCTTTAGTAACATGATCACAGTAACAAGAATCAAGGCCGTCAGACGTTAATAATGGCTATGGCTAAGGCCTGATGGCTAAAACATGTTGCCTTTTATACAACTGTTAAACATGTTTTTGCAATAAAGGATAACTATTGTTGGATGCCATTCCAAGTGACAACTTTTCCTCTTGTGATTCGAGTTACCTAGAGGCATTGGCAGCCAGTGAGTCTGAGCACCGGGCAGGAGCTTGGATATGGGAAAGAGGAAGCGCTACCTGTATTCATATGATCACAATAAAACCTGGCTTTGGGTTGGGTTGCAGGAACAAGCGGTTTATAGGTTGAAGGCCACTGGCGTTCATTGACAGTAGGAATCCAAAAGCATCATAACTGTTGTCTCCCTCACCACTATTTATTATTTATGTGTATGATGGGTATCATACTCTATTTAAGCTTTACATCAATCATCCCAGAAAATATTAGCTGTTTCCTACTCGCTAAATCAACAGGTAGAAGAACAGATATTTTTTTCTCATTTTACAATAACTTAATCAACAAGAATGTAATTGCCACACAAAAGACAGAAAGGAAGAGATTTGATTATTACTCACCAGGACTGAAGCAATAATCTATGGACAAGAGAAAGAATGTAAATTAAGGCATGCTTAGGTGCAGGAATAAGATTTTAACTCTAGGAGAGGACAAGAACTCAGTAGAACTCATGTTTAAGAACATTCTAAAGTTAGCATGTAAAGGACTTAAAGAGCACCTGCCATTTTGTAGCAACAATATACTACATATGAGATAAGTATACCTTTATTTGTTTTCTATTGTCAATGTTTTGGTGAACTTTGGACTCATTGGACTGATTGTTTGCTATCAGTTACTGCATTTAAAGCTGAACTCTGGGGAAAAAAATGATTTGCACATTTGCTACGTAAAAATAAATTCCTCTTAATGATCGGTGTCCCATTGGTAGATGCTGTTGCGTCTTTCATTCATTCAGACATCATTGTTACAGTCTTACAGTCCCAGCAAGCAATAGGAGACAGTGAAAGATAGTGATTTGCTCGCACTTCACCTCATCCATTCACAAAATGTCTTGGAGTTTCTGGGAGAAGAGGGGTGGATGAATGTTACAATCTCCAATTGTACAATCACAGAACACCTTATATTCTGTGAAACAAAATGCAAGATGTTTTGTGAATTGAGGGAAGATTAAGTGCAAATGACACATAGTCCTTCACTATATGCACTGTACTAGAAGCATAAGTTTCAGGGCTGGAAGTTTGGCTGTTACAGCAGTGTTGGGATGATGTGTTCATTTTTATCTAACACAGCAGCATCCACCAATCAGCCACTTATCATTAGGTTTCATTCATTTTTACACAGCAAATGTACAAAAATAGTTTTTCCCATAGTTCAGCTTTTAGGATAGGGAATTAGGGATAGAAACTACAGCCCTGGCCAAACGTTTTGAGAATGACACAAATATTAATTTACCTGCAAGGAAACACGTGTAGTCATCATTGCTTTGCACAAAAAGATTCACAGGCAAGGATATTGCTGCTACTAATATTGCACCTAAATCAACCATTTATTGGACCTTCAAGAACCTAAAAGGAGAGAGGTTTAATTGTTGTGAAGAACGCTTCAGAACGCCTAAGAAAGTCCACCAAGTTCTAGGACTGTCTCCTAAAGTTGATTCAGCTGTGGGATCGGGGCACCACCAGTGCAGAGCTTGCTCAGGAATGGCAGCAGGCAGGTGTGAGTGCATCTGCACACACAGTGAGGCAAAGACGTTTCAAGGATGGCCTGGTGTCAAGAAGGGCAGCAAAGAAGCCACTTCTCTCCAGGAAAAACATCAGGGACAGACTGATATTCTGCAAAAGGTACAGGGATTGGACTGCTTAGGACTGGGGTAAAGTAATTTTCTTTGATGAATCCCATTTCCGATTGTTTGGGGCATTTGGAAGAAACCTTGTCCGGAGAAGAAAAGGTTAGTGCTACAATCAGTCCTGTGTCATACCAGCAGTAAAGCATCCTGAGACCATTCCAGTGTGGGGTTGCTTCTCAGCCAAGGGAGTGGGCTCACTCACAGTTTTGCCTAAGAACACAGCCATGAATAAAGAATGGTACAAAAACATCCTCCAAAAGCAGCTTCTCCCAACCATCCAAGAACAGTTTCGTGATGAACAATGCCTTTCCAGCATCATGGAGCACCTTGCCAGAAGGCAAAAGTGATAACTAAGTGGCTTGGGGAACGAAACATCAAAATTTTGGGTCCATGGCCAGAAAAACTCTCCCCAGACCTTAATTCCATTGAGAACTTGTGATCAAACCTCAAGAAACAGGTGAACAAAAAAAACTCCACAAATTCTGACAAACACCAAGCATTGATTATTCATGAATGGGCTGCCATCAGTCAGGATGTGGACCAGAAGTTAATTGACAGCATGCCAGGGCAAATTGTAGAGGTCTTGAAAAAGAAGGGTCAACACTGCAAATAATGACTCTTTGCATAAACATAATATAATTGTCAATAAAAGCCTTTGTCACTTATGAAATGCTTGTAATTATACTTCAGTCTACCATAGTAACAAAGTGATCTAAAAACACTGAAGCAGCAGACTTTGTGGAATTAACATTTGTGTAATTCTCAAAACTTTTGGCCAGGGCTGTATTTACTGAACCAAAAAAGTCCAAATGTGGCAATCTGTTCCTTCTACTGTAAATAATATCAGGAAGAGATGGGGCCTCTTCACACCAAAATGCATTGCACTGAAGTGCACGCTGTGGTGTGCTGCGTTCGGCAGCTCCTTCTAAATAAAGAGGTTGTAGTAACACAGTTCCACATATGAAAAAAAAAATATTTGTTTTGTGCTGTGCAGCACACAGGCATTTGGAGATGCATTAGAATGCCACACATTACTGAAGTGTGATTGGTGTGAATGGGCCCTTAGTTTTCCTGCACCTGACTCAAGCCTGAGTCAAGGTAAGTCATATCCTATTTTGTGTTGATACCCTTGCAAACAGTATCACCTAGAGGTCAGTTAAAACCCTGATTTGTAGTGTGACTGTTATTAATTACTATATTCACTAAAGAGGACACATTCCACCACATTTATTTTACATGGCATACACTAAGTGAGATATACACTGATCAGCAAAACATGACAACCTACAGGTAAGGTGAATAACATTGATAATCTCAGTATGATGGCATCTAAAAGTAGATGGGATATATCAGGTAGCAAGTGAAACTGTTGTCCCTGAAGTTGATGTGTAGTAAGCAGAATAAATGGGCAAGCGACTTGCCTTTGAGTGACTTTGACAAGGGTCAAACTGTAATAGCTAGATGACTGTGTCAAAGCAACTCCAAAACTGTAGCTCTTGTGGTATGTTCTCAGTCTGCAGTGGCCAGGACCTACCTAAAAGTGGTCCAAGGAAGGAAAACCGATAACATGGTCAGGTGTGGCCAAGGCTCATTAATGCATGTGGGGAACGAAGGCTGGCCCATGTAGTCTAACCCAACAGAACAGCTACTATAGCTCAAATTGCTGAAAATGTTAATGCTGTTTCCATATAGGACTGCTGACCTGTATCCACAGCCAAAAGCTCCTACAATGGGTCTATAATGGGCATGTGAGCATTAGAACTGAACCACGGAGTAATGGAAGAAGGTGGCCTGGTCTGACAAATTCAGGAATGGTTTCAGGAATACAAAGATGATTGCAAAGTGTTGACTTGGCCTCCACATTCTCCAAATCTCAATCCAATAGAACATCTGTGGGATGTGCTGGAAAATCAAGTCCGATCCATTGAGGCCCCACCTCGCAACTTGCAGGACTAAAAGGATAAGTTCACCTTTCGTAAAATGTTACATGTTCCACTGGGGGGGGACCATGTAACATGTTTCTACTCCTGGAGCTGCTGCCTCTAGTGACAGCAAGCAGGGGATCTTCTTCCACCATGCAGGGCTCTGCCTGTCCAGCCACGTCAATCATTCACAGAGTTCTGTGAATGGGAAACTACAAGGACCGACAGCCATTGCGGAAACTACAAGGACCGACAGCCATTGCGGAAACTACAAGGACCGACAGCCATTGCGGAAACTACAAGGACCGACAGCCATTGCGGAAACTACAAGGACCGACAGCCATTGCGGAAACTACAAGGACCGACAGCCATTGCGGAAACTACAAGGACCGACAGCCATTGCGGAAACTACAAGGACCGACAGCCATTGCGGAAACTACAAGGACCGACAGCCATTGCGGAAACTACAAGGACCGACAGCCATTGCGGAAACTACAAGGACCGACAGCCATTGCGGAAACTACAAGGACCGACAGCCATTGCGGAAACTACAAGGACCGACAGCCATTGCAGAAACTACAAGGACCGACAGCCATTGCAGAAACTACAAGGACCGACAGCCATTGCAGAAACTACAAGGACCGACAGCCATTGCAGAAACTACAAGGACCGACAGCCATTGCAGAAACTACAAGCACCGACAGCCATTGCAGAAACTACAAGCACCGACAGCCATTGAAGAAACTACAAGTACCGGCAGCCATTGCAGAAACTACAAGTACCGGCGGAAATTGTAAAAACTAAAAGTACCGACAGCCATTGTCTTTTCCTGTCAGTGGGTATCTGCTTGCCAGTATGAGGTACAAGCAGACAGATACACTGACAAGTCTGCAGGAGTCCTGCATGGCACCTGCGATCTCCTGATCGAGGGTGCAATGCTTTATAGGCCCCAAGTAAAAAATAATAAATTATTGCATTTATTCTTTTTTTTTTTTAAAGGTGAACTTATCCTTTAAGGATCCGCTATTGATGACTTGGTGCCAGATACCACAGCACACCTTCAGAGGTCTAGTGGAGTCCATGTTTCAGTGAGGTATGGTGGGTGTTCATAGTAATATAATTGATCAGAGTATATAAAAATGCATTTAAAATTATTTTGATTTTTGTACTGAAGAGAAGGTTGAAGTAATGCACACCATTGCTTCTGTCCTGTTGACTAAGAAAATCATGAATTAAACTTTGAAAACAGTTGATATTTACCTTAGCATCATCTACGGCTTTGTCAGTGTCTTCACCACCCTCCTCACGGTTTGCCTAACGAGACAAAAACACACAATACTTACTAGGGCTTATTAACATGATCATTTGGGCAGAATATATTAATCCGCTGTTAGCTTTCCTTCCATGTTGTTAGATGTAAGGTCCTATATCTGTTTATATCTAAACTCTAACTTTCACAAAGACCAAATAATACGCACTGATGATGTGTTATTTTTACCAAATAAATGTAGCTGTATACATTTTGGTCAAAATTTATGAAGAAAAATTACTTATTTGCTAAATGATATAACAAAAAGTAAGAAAAAAATATTTGTTTCAAAATTTTCTATCATTTTTTTATAGCGCAAAAAAAAAAAAAATCCCAGTGGTTATTAAATACCACCAAAAGAAAGCTCTATTTGTGTGGAAAAAAAAGGATAAAAATGTCATATAGGTACAGTGTTGCATGGCTGAGTAATTGTCATTCAAAGTGCGGCAGTGCTGAAAATTGGACAGGCCAGGAAGAGTGTGAAAGTGCCCGGTACTGAAGTGGTTAACAGTCAGTTTTATTTAAAAGGCTGCAAATCAAACACACAGAACAAAACAGAAAAGAAGTCCAGGCACTAAACAAACAGCACAGATTCCTCTCTGACAGGTGAAGGGTTTCTCCCAGTCACTAACAACAACAAAAACACAAGTGATTTCCACGTGTAGGTCTCTCAGGTTTAGCGTCCATAGCCTAGATTCACAGTGCGATTGCCTGAAATCATATTGCATGGGTGCAAACACCCAAGCGATCTTACTCCGGTGTAGCCAAAAAAAGGGTCTGGAACCATTCTGGTGCAAATGCAGTGCAATTTGAGACATTGTATGGCAATCACAGAACTATATGTGAATTGCACAGGAATGGGGTGCGATTCTTATGCGAATCACATGAGGTGTGAGTGTGAACCAGGTCTGAGTCCCAGGCCAGAGCAACCTCTTGCTCCAGTCCTTCTTTATTTATCCCACCAGTTGCTGGTCACAAGTGGGAAGCAAAACCCGGCATAGATCCTACACTGCAAAGATGGCCGGGAAAACCCGGACTGGGCACCATCTTAGTTTCCTACATACAGTGCCACATTTTGTATTTTTTCCACATTTTGTCATGTTACAACCAAAAAACGTAAATGTATTTTTTTGGGATTTAATGTGATACACCAACACATAGTGGCACATAATTGAGAAGTGGAAGGAAAATGATAAATGGTTTTCATAATTTTTTTTACAAACAAATATCTGAAAAGTGTGGCCTGCATTTGTATTCAGCTCCCTTTACTCTCATACCTCTAACTAAAATCTAAAAAATATCCCAACATCTCATGGAGCACTGTTCAATCCATCATCAGAAAATGGAAAGAGTATGGCACAACTGCGAACCTACAAAGACATGGCCATCCATCAGAACTGACAGGCCGGGCAAGGAGAGCATTAATCAGAGATGCAGCCAAGAGGCCCATTGTAACTCTGGAGGAGCTGTAAAGATCCATAGCTCAAGTGGGAGAATTTGTCCACAGGACAACTATTAGTTGTGCACTCCACAAATCTGGCCTTTATGGAAGAGTGGTAAGAAGAAAGCCATAAGAAGTCCCATTTGCAGTTTGCGAGAAGCCATGTGGGGGACACAGCAGACATGTAGAAGAAGGTGTGCTGGTCAGATGAGACCAAAGTTTAATTTTTTTACCTAAAAGTAAAACGCTATGTGTGGCGGAAAACGAACACTGCACACCACCCTGAACACACCATCCCCACTGTGAAACATGGTGGTGGCAGCATCATGTTGTGGGCATGCTTTTCTTCAGCAGGGACAGGGAAGCTAATCAGAGTTGATGGGAAGATGGATGGAGCCAAATACAGGGCAATCGTAGAGGAAAACCTGTTAGACTCTGCAAAAGACGAGACTGGGGTGGAGGTTCACCTTCCAGCAGGACAATGACCCTAAACATACAGCCAGATCTACAATGGAATGGTTTAGATCAAAGCGTATCCATGTGTTAGAATGGCCCAGTCAAAGTCCAGACCTAAATCTAATTGAGAATCTGTGGCAAGACTTGAAAATTGTTGTTCACAGATACTCTCCATCCAATCTGACAGAACTTCTTTTGCAAAGAAGAATGGACAAAACTGTCCCTCCCTAGATGTGCAAAGCTGGTAAAGACATCCCCAAAAAGACTTGCAGCTAGAATTGCAGCAAAAGGTGGTTCTACAAAGTACTGACTCTGGGGGGCTGAATACAAATACATGCCACACTTTTCAGATATTTATTTGTAAACAAATGTTGAAAACCATTTCTCATTTTCCTTCCACTTCACAATTATCTGCCACTTTGTGCTAGTCTTATACATAAAATCAAAATAAAATACATTTCCTTTTTTGGTTGTAACATGACAAAATGTGGAAAATTTCAAGGGGTATGAATACTTTTTCAAGGATGTTTTGAGTGAATAAAATTATGGTATTTTGGAAAATATTAGAACTCATATTTTGTACTTGTCTTACCAGTCCTGAAGTTTTGTCGCCATAAGTAACCACTGTGCCCAGCTTTTGGGCTTTCTTGTTGGCTCTGCTAAATTGTTCTGGTTACGGTGACAACACCTAATTGGGGTGGAGGTGCACTGGTACACTAATATATCTCTAAATCAACCCCGAGTGTCTTTTTCAGTAAGATTGTATGAAAGCATGCGAGTGATACATAGCATCCCTCAATCACCTTCGCCTTTCAGTATGTCACAACACACACACTGTATGCTATATATACAGTTGTGGCCAAAATTATTCAACCCCTTCACAGGAAGGGCAATGGCTATAAGAAGATTGCAAAGATGTTAAACATACCAAGAGACACCTTAGGAAGCATCATTCGCAAATTCAAGGCAAAGGGCACTGTTGAAACGCTACCTGGTCGTGGCAGAAAGAAGATGCTGACTTCGACTGCTGTGCGCTACCTGAAGCGTAGAGTGGAGAGAAAGTCCCCGTGTGACTGCTGAGGAACTGAGAAAAGATTTGTCAGATGTGGGTACAGAAGTTTCAGCCCAGACAATAAGACGCACACTGCGTAATGAAGGCCTCCGTGCCAGAACTCCCAGGCGTACCCCCTTGCTGTCTCCAAAGAATAAGAAGAGTCGACTGCAGTAAGCCAAAAGCCATGTGGACAAACCACAAAAAGTTTGTGGGATAGTGTTCTGTGGACTGATGAAACAAAATTAGAACTGTTTGGGCCCATGGATCAACGCTATGTTTGGAGGAGGAAGAACAAGGCCTATGATGAAAAGAACACCTTGCCTACTGTGAAGCATGGTGGAGGGTCAATCATGCTTTGGGGCTGTTTTGCTTCTGCAGGTACAGGGAAGCTTCAGCGTGTGCAAGGTACCATGAATTCTCTTCAGTACCAGGAGATATTGGATGGAAACGTGATGCAGTCCGTCACACACCTGAGGCTTGGGAGACGTTGGACCTTTCAACAGGACAATGATCCCAAGCATACCTCCAAGTCCACTAGAGCATGGTTGCAGAGGAAAGGCTGGAACATTTTGGAGTGGCCATCGCAGTCACCAGACTTAAATCCGATTGAGAACCTCTGGTGGGACTTAAAGAAAGCAGTTGCAGTGCGCAAGCCTAAGAATGTGACTGAACTGGAGGCCTTTTGCCCATGAAGAATGGGCGAAGATACCCGTAGATCGCTGCAAGACACTTGTGTCAAGCTATGCTTCACGTTTAAAAGCTGTTATAACTGTAAAAGGATGCTGTACTAAGTACTAAGATTGAATGTCACTTGGGGGTTGAATAAAACTGATAATGCTGTGAGCACAGAAAAAGACATTTGTGGTTATTTCATTATAACTGTTATGTTATATTTGTCTGACCTACAAGTGCCTCTTTAATGTAAATGTAAGCAAGATGACTGAATGATCAAAAGCAATGTCAAACTGGCCAAAACACTCAATTTCAGTGGGGGGTTGAATAATTTTGGCCACAACTGTATATACTGTATGTATACTCAAGATCTCCAAAAATATGGCTATGCTGTACCCAGTAATTAAGTAACCAACCGAAGCTAATGAAACGAGGATCCTCTTCAAGTGTCCAGATGTGTCGGAGCTTATAGCATCTTCCAGTGACTGGTGGAAAGCTGGGTGAAGACAGAATATGAAAACGTTAAATATGCTAGAAATTCGAACACCACTTGGCTGTACTTGGCTAACTAAAAATATCCACACTGTATGTTAACAAAATGTTATGAATCAGACTTCTACCATGTCAAGATGTATACTTATTTTATAGGCAGGTCTTCTAAGCCTCGAGTACCCACAGTTAGTTGGGTGTATTTGGAAGTGAAGTGTTCATAATTGTAGTTATTAGTAGTTCAAATATGTTCTGCAAGGAAGGGAGGGATTCTCTTACAGGATAAACCCATTTTATGTCATGTTGATGTCTTCGGAAATTTCAATATAAAACAGCTCTTTTGATGGGTCACCTTGACAGCTTATGATCACATTCCCTCTTTATGCCTTTAATTGGGACTTTAACAGTAACAAACCTGTTTAACATTTAAAAGAGAAGTATGGGTTTGTTAGTTTTTTTTAACTCATACTTACGGAATAGGAAAACAACTGCTGCAAATGTGACTGCAGAGCTCAATCTCAGTCCCGTGAAGGCCGAGTCCTGTGAAGACTGAGATTGAGCTAGGCCAGGAATGGGCAAACTATGGCCCGCGGGCCGTATACGGCCCGGCGGACCTTTTAATCCGGCCCGCGGAGCGTGATACAAAAAAAAACCAGCCAGGGCAGGCAAACATTTGCATCATTCAGCGCGCTCAAATGCAATGATTGGCCAGTCTCGCTGCCACTCACATCCTGATAGCCAGTGATTGGCTGTCAGGATGTGTGTAGGCGGGGCAGCGTGACGAACGTGAGGGGAGCTAGGCTCCTCTCACAGTCCGCCCTGAAGACCGGAACGGCGCGGGAACACGGCGAGAGGAACGCGCGGAGCAAAGGTAAGTAAATTGACACAGGGGGGACTTGGCTTACTACTTGGGGGGGGAATAGTACTATGGGGGATGAAATGTTACAAATTTTAATTTAATTTATATTAATTCACACATACACATCATTCATCTACTCTTGGTCCGGCCCCCCGGGTCCAATATATGAACCCATTGCGGCCCTCAAGTCAAAAAGTTTGCCCACCCCCTGAGCTAGGCAGTCACTTTTGCAGCAGTTGTTTTCTTATTCTGCATCACAATCCTGCGCATGTTAACCACGCTTTTGCTTATCAGACGATGTTCTCGAAAACTGTATATGCCGTCATAACCTTTGAAACTGTACCTTGCGACACCGCAAATAAATTGGCAACTTCAGTCACAGAGGCACCAGCTGAGCGAGCACCAACAATTTGCCCTCTTTGAAGCTCAGTAAGCTCTGACATGACTCTGTAATACTAACAGCGCACCCAGTGAATGACGAAAGTGAGGCTTCCCACCTGTTAGCTAGGTGTCTCATCACACAGCGGAAGCAAAAAAATGTTACATCACTTCTGCTTTTAATGTGAAACATGTCGTCATTTTCACACCTGTAAATCATATAGTGTTTCCATTTCTGTCTAACCCCTGTACATGTATGGAAATTGCTTGGCATTCCAAAATAATTTGTACTTTGGCCATCAAGTCATGTAATCTACACAGGTCTTCCACAGAGCACAGCCAGGTGGGTGACACCCCTTTCTCTGTCCCAGTTTGAGACTGTAGAATGAATACAAAGGTGTCATCTCTCCATCCTGCTGACTGATCCATTTCCACTTCCCATTATTTTTCTTTTCCATCCATCATGAACAATTGTATTAAGTATGACTGATTGGTTCCCAGTCCTGCCCCTCCCTAACCCAGACAAAGTAATGCTGTATAGAAGACTGTTTGGAGTTATCGTGAAATTTAGGTACATAGGCAGACTGAATTTAACAGATATATTTAATGGTGTATTAAGGAACAAATAGTTGTATTACTTTGTGAATTCTATATCTGCCTAAAGTTTGGCTTTATTATTTATTTATTTCAGGTACTTATATAGCGCCATCAATTTACCCAGCACTTTACATATATATTGTACATTCACATCAGTCCCTAACCCTCAAGGGGTGTACAGTCTAAGGTCCCTAACTCACATTCATACATACTAGGGACAATTTAGACAATAGCCATTTAACCTACCAGCATGTCTTTGGAGGAAACTGGCGTACCCGGAGGAAACCCAAGCAGGCACAGGGAGAACATGCAAACTCCAGGCAGGTGGTGCCATGGTTGGGATTCAAACCAATGACCATAGTACTGCCAGGTGGAAATGCTAACCATTTAGACACTGTGCTGCCCAAAAAAGTATGTTTTGGCTGGACTGAACCTTTATTAATATAAACTGCAACTAAATGTCTTTCAAGCAATCATTATGCACTTATTTTGCTCAGCTTCACCCTGTGCCATCTTTACTATTTAAAGTGATTGCAAAGTTATTTTTTTATTAAAATACCTAGCATGGCATACTTACTTGCTCGGTGTAATGATATTGCACAGAGCAGCTCCGAACCTCCTCTGCTGGGGTCCCCACCAATGCTCCAGACTCCTCTTCTGAGAGTGTGGCTTGCAATGGGGGCACACCTGTGGGTTCGCTCTCAAGCCAAGCTGTGTGCAAACATTGACAGTGCAGCTCGGCCCCGCCCCTTGCCTTCTGTTCTTTGATTGACAGGAGCAGGACCCAATGGCTCCTGCTGCTGCAGAGTCTCCTGTGAGAAGAACAGCACTGCTGCAGACATGCACAATGCTAGATCGAGATCAGGCTCAGGTAAGTATTTCAGGGGCGCTGGGGGAGCTGACATGGAAAGGGTTTTTTTTACCTTAATGTAGGGAATGCATTAAGGTAAAGAACCTTTTGCCTTTGGAACAACTTTAATCCCCCACAAATGCATCAGCATTCTAGCCTGGACAGTGCCAAAGGCTTTTTAGGAAAAGTCTCCACGGGTCATTTTTTCTTGAGGCCTGGGTATTTAATTTGACATTGCTGGCAAATATACACAGCAAATCTATTTTTTAGTCCTTACTAGACTATCATCATCCTTGTAATATTTCACAAGACTGGGCTTTGCACTTCCTTATAATACCTTGTATGTTCTACAAGGAATAAATTTGTACTGTAACCTTAGATAATTTACCAAGAATACTTTTAATAAGTATACACAGTATAGGGGCAGAATTTACAAATCCATTAAAATATTTTGGTGTAAGTATTGGCAGATACTTTCTATGCACACCAATCAGGACAAACAGTTCAAGATGGTTCCCATGTCAAGCGCTCTGCTTAATCCTTGTACATACATATAGTGTGTTTAGACTAAACATGAAGCATTGTTTGGGCTGAACATTCATTTTGGTGGCCTTGATGCCTGAAAGTTTAATCTGCTTATATTTTGTCTTCCCGAGTTCTTCCTTTCCCCCCCCTCAGGCATGCTAATGAAATATTTCAATAAACATTTCCATTTTCATTGCACACTAGACCTTATTTTGGACTTCTTGACATGCTTCCCTGGGCTTCTTTTTTTTCCAAGCAGACAGATCATGGCTGGCAGCAAGGTGTTGTACATAGTTTCTTGAAACCATCACAGCACCCTGCCTCAGTATTCCTCCCAAGAGACCTCAGCCCTGATACAATCAGAGAACAGGTTCTTGGGAGGTGCTATACAAAAATTAAAATGTCTTGATGAGTAGATGTCAGTGTGCAGGACTAATACCCACATGTGATGCTGAGATTCAATGACAGAAAGAGCTGAAATCCACTAAATGAAACGGGGAGGGCCAGAGACTGAAAGGCTAGGACGCAGATCATCCATCAGAAAATGTTGTGGCCCCTTATACAGCTTTAGGCCTGGGCCCTCCTGGGCCTGACCTCCAGCATTCCCCAGGGCCTGCCAACTGGCTGTCCCACTGAATCTGCCCACTAGCCATCCCACTGAGTCTTTCAGTGGACCCACATTTATTTTAACACTCTTACAACTTAATATATGAAAATGAAAAGTGCATTCCAAGTCATCAGTGCTTTCAAGATTTAAACATTAACACTAACTGTGGTACTTTTTCAATGCTCCCCTCCAATCTGTCCTCCCCTAGCAGATCTTTGAAAACAAAAAAACTTCAAAGCAAAAAAAACAAATATATTCAGAGAGAGACACCCAATCCTGCAAAGAAACATCCCAATAAAACAAAGAGACATCCCCATATATTCAGCAAAGAGACATGCCCATATATTAAGCAAAGAGAAATCCCAGTCCAGCAAAGAGAAGGCCCACTCCAGCACCTGTACACACTCAGCACCCCCATACCTGTACACACTCAGCTCTCCCTCACACTTGGACACACTCACCCCCCCCCCCCCCCCCACCTGTACACGCTCAACCCGCTCACAGCTGTACAAGCTCAACCCCCTCACACCTGTACCCACTCATCCCACCTTTACACACTTAACCCTCCTTCACATTTGTGTGTATATATATATATATATATATATATATATATATATATATATATATATATATATATATATATATATATATATATCTCAACCCCCCCATACACACATCTGTAAACACACACACAGCACCACCCACCCGTACACAAACATACCCTCCCTTCACTTGTACACACATCCCCTACTTGTAAAGGAGGTCTTAGTGGTCCCAGCTCTTGTATACATAAAGCTGACAGGTTGCTGAGACACTGCTGGAACCACGCACAGTCCAGTATTCAGTACAGGCAGCACACAAGAGAAGAGAAGTGAACATCCAGGGAGCAGCCAGAGGTGGAATTAAAGAGCCCAATATGTGCTCAGTGATATACAGCAGCAGTAGCTATTGACTCTTCTGTAGAAAGTCAAGGCAGCCACGTGGTGCCCCTGCACCTACCCCTGCCTTATCCTGGCCCTGCCAGGTGGCCATGCCCCTCAGGACACCGGGCTCCCTACAAGTGTATAGGCTTCCCCCCCCCTGATGGCGGCCCTGCTGGGATAGAAAGGAGTAGATGATGCTGGATATCTTCCAGCCAGGAAATGAAGGGTGTAAGCAGGTGCTGTTAGCTGTCTGGCCACGAGATGGCTCTCTTCCCATTATAGCTTGTATATAAGCAAGTTATAAACAAGTGATAGCTTCCCTTTTAACTAGAGCCCTATTGTAGTGATGTCATGAGTGAGTCCAAGTCCATACATAAGCTAGGTTGGGAAGAGCCTTAGTGCAGTTCGGGCATAAGAGCTAAATGCCCCACATCTATGCAGATGTATCCAGCAAGCAGAGGCCCAGGACAGGGCTGGAGGCCAAAGAGATAGACCTGCACCCAAAAGAGCCAGCTGTAAACTTCCTGACCCTTATGAAGGTGGGAGTATTGTGCGTTGCAAAAGGCCTTTTAGGCCAGGCCAAGAGTTCCCTAAGTGAGGCTATCCCCCAGATAGAGGTGTACCTATGGAGGAGGTGACCACAGAGATCCTATCCCAGTGAGTACAAAATGACCCTAAAGTGGTTCTAAAGGCAGAAGGTTTTTTTACCTTCATGAATTCTATGCATAAGGGTAAAAAACCTTCTGGGTGCAGCTCCCCCCCCAGCCCCCCTAACACTTAACCGAGCCCCATCTCAATCCAGTGATGAGCATGAGAGCTGGGCTTCTCCCCGGTCTCTCTCTCTTCATCGGCTCACACAGCAGTGGGAGCCATTTGTTCCTTCCCGCTGCTGTCAATCATAACTAGTGAGCCAATGAGGAGAGAGTGGGGGGGCTGAGCCACACTCTGTGTGTGAATGGACAAGGAGCACGGCTTGGGAGTGATCCTACTTAAGTGCCCCCATAGCAAGAGGCTTGCTTTTGGGAACACTTTGCTGAGGGGAGGATCCAGGACCCAAAAAGAAGCCAAGGACCCAAAATGAAGAGGATCAGGGCTGCTCTTTGCAAAACCATTGCCCAGAGAAGGTAAGTATAACAGGTTTCTTTTTTTTTTTTTAGATTCAAACCTTTAATGGCTGCATGATGCTTTCATATGTCACTAAATGTGATTGACAATGTACTGTCAAGTAACTCTGGCTAGTATGTTGGTGTTATGTGACTGTGCCATTTCCCAAGTACCACCAGTAAAGGGTTCTCTATTTATGTGTGGACATTTCTTCCTGTGGGGATATTAAGGTTAACAGAAAAGAATGTTGAGAGGAGGCCTCTGGCATGGAGAGGAGATGATGGAGGATTAAAGCCTCAACAGGAAGGTCACTGCAGAGGAGCAGGGCAGGGACTTATACTATTGGTGCCAACATCTAGCCAATTGCAAGCCCCCTACAAGCAGGGTCTGTGTGACTTGGTGCAGAATCCAATGGACATTGCGGGAAGCTCACAGTGTGCAATGAACTCAGGCTAAACAATTTAGTATGGAAGAGGAGTCTGTACAATTGTGCAATACTGAAGGCAAGGATGGGGTTAAGCTGTAAGAAGAACGTTTGTCAGGAGAAGATTTTTTTACTTTGATAAATGACACCACTTTGTGCCAAAAAATGATGGTTACGTATGATATATGAAAGCATTATGGAAAGCATAAAGAGTGTTTGAATTGTGGTGCCATCTTCACCCTTCTCACAGCAGTCTTATGAACTATTTAAACGAATACGATATTTTGGCTCACCTTCTTGATAAGCTTGATTAATAGCTTGGATCTCCTGGTTGTTTCTTGTAGCTAGGATTTCAATTAAGACTTTTTCATCTGTTCCAGCCCCCTGCAGATAAATAAACACGGTAACTTTTAAAGTTTTCAGATTTGTCTGTCAAAACAGAAAAACAATTACCTAAATCATGACTTAACTGAAGCATTTAAAAAAAATTTCTGTCGTGTCTTTTCCAAAAAAGTTTTTAAAAATTCCCCAACTGCAGGAAATATTTTTGTACATACCAGCACACTCATTTGAGCATTTGCAGAGAGGTCAGCTGACAGTCTCCTAATGTCTGACATGTGAGGTCATATTGGTTGACCATGCAAAGCTGATGTCAAGGAATCTGATTGGCTGGAATCCATACCAAACTCTGAGGGTCTGGTATAGAATTTTGGGGAGACCTCATGCCATTTTTTTTAAACTATCCCCACTGTTGGTTTATGTCACAGGATATGTCACTGATTGTTAGGGCACCGAGGGTGCTGGCTCCCTAACAACCAGGAGGAAGCTGTGACATTTAGCAGTAATAATGATACTATTGCTAAATAGTTTGCTTTTCACACTGTAGAGGGGGGTTCAGTCAGCCAAACACCCATTTGTTCAGCCATTCACACAAGATTCTCCATAGATTGTACACAGTGCAGAACACTCCATGTTTCATCCGCTGGTTGAATGTTCTGAGCCTATAGCAGGGGTCTCCAAACTTTCTAAGAAAAGGGCCAGTTTACTGTCCTGATTTTAGGAGGGCCCGACCATGGCAATCGGCAGTAGAAAAGGTATCGGCATCAGTGGTAGTAAACATGCTCCACCTGTGGTTTCAGTAAGAGGAACTGTGTCCCAATCTTGGGGTCATTGGGAGGAATTATGCCCCATCGTTTATGTCATTGGAGGGAATTGTGTCCCATTGTTGGTGTCATTGGTGGGAATTGTGCCCCTTTTTTGGTGTCAGTGGATAAAATAGTGCCCCAAGGGCTGGATAAAAGCAAACAAAGGGCCACATCCAACCCTCAGGCCACAGTTCGGAGATCCCTGGTCTAGAGCAGTGGTTTACAAACTGCGGCCTGAGGGCTGGATGCAGACCTTTGTTTGAGGAATGAGGGCCACTTGAGTGATTTAGTAAACAGTCCCAGGCTACAATGAAATTAATTAGTTCATAATTTTGAATAGCATAATGAACACTTTCCTCCTACAGCTGCTGAATACTGGCGGGAGGGAAAGGAGAAGCCAGATTTCAGTGGTTGCAGGAGGAAAATGGAGAGGATCGGTTCCTGTATATGCTGCCCCTCCTGTGTAAAACAGAATGTGCCAGGGAGACTGCAGTGCAATTCCCTGGTGTGAGGTCAAGGACCACATAAGAGGGCTCCGAGGACTACAGGTTGAGAGCTACTCCTCTTCTAAGCACAGAGTCCCTTTACTGTCCTTTAGGCTTCAAGGGGGCCGGACTTTGCCAGTGGGAGTAGAAAATGCCCCAGCATTAATGCCCCATCGGAGGAATAGTGCCCCACTAATGGTGTCAGTAGGGGGAATGGTGCCCCATCATTAGTGCCCCAAGGGCCAGATAAAGGCAGGCAAGGGGCCACATCTGGCACCTGGGCCGCAGTTTGGAGACCAGTGGCCTATAATGTTATACTATTTTCTGTATTGGTGAATGGTAACTCAAAAGGACCATTGTTAGGGAATGTTACCAAATACAAGCTCAAAGTGCTGCCCTCTACATAACATTGCAAAACATATTCACATGTGTATTAAAAGTCCCTATGACATAAATATTAAAGTGCAGTCCATAGTGAAGATAGTGCAATAATCCTCCAAACGATGGGTGCAGAAAGCACAGTCCCCACACTCACCAGCATCCGTGGACTCTTACATATAATGTTAAGAGTCCAATGCGCATGTAGTGCAGATCATCAGGTGTTGCTGGGACTTGTGTTCCTCCTTATGGATCGCTCCTTCACTGCAAGGAATGGATTCAAAGGCTGTCGTGCTCACATAGCAAAGAATGGCCGAAAGGGCCACATTGTGTAATTAAATTTTTTATCAAGATCATATAAAAGTAATAGTTACACTTACATTAAAATCAAGAGGAAAGGCACAGATCGTGGACTGGAAGCAACTCACTGGCATGCGTTCAAGTGGCCAGATATGATGTCACCACTTGTCTCTAATGCATTTTTGGCCCTCCCATAGGGCATCTTCACAGGTCCTCTGCCTCTGAAGATGCCCTATGGGAGGGGTGAAACGCGTTAGATGGAGACAAGTGGTGACATCATATTCGGCAGGTGGAGCGCTCGCCAGTGTGCTGCTTTCGATCTGGAGATCTGTGCTTTTCCTCTTGATTTTAATGTAAGTGTAACTATTACTTTTATACGATCTTAATAAAAAATTTAATTATGCCATGTGGCCCCTTTCGCCATTCCTTGCTATGTGAGCACAACAGTCTCTGAATCCAGTCCTTGCAGTGGAAGAGCGATCCATAAGGAGGAACACAAGTCCCAGCAACACCTGATGATCTGCACTATAGGCGCATTTGACTCTTAACATTTTATGTCCACAGATGCTATATAGAGGGCAACACTTTGAGCTTGTATTTGGTTATTAATAGGGTACACCGACCCTGTCTTAGCAGCAGTCTTGTTTCAAATCTAGTTATTTTATTACTCATTTTATGGTGGTTTTTTCACTATTTGTAATCACATACATTTATTTAGAAAAATAATTTTATGCTGGTGAAAAAATAGTGGCCTTAGCGCGGGTAATTTTGTAATTGTATTTTGTTAGGGAATGTTACATTCACTCTTCCAAAGGCAGCAAAGAAACGATTTCATATTACAAACATAACAATTATTTGTGACACTTGCATGAATGTTGGGACATTTGCAAAGCAAATTTTGAATAAATAGCCCCTTTGTGTTTGTACATACTTTGTAGGTTTTTACTTTTTTTTATTGCATCTGCATTGCCATATTATTGTGAAAAGGATAGCAGAATTAAAACATACTATCATTGTCATCATTTAAGAGGCCATATGGTTCCAGTCAATGAACCTTTGTGGGCTTGAATGTGGGTATATGTTACAAGAAAATCCATTGGTTCTAGTGCTACTTTACTCCTACTTTTCCAACCAGTAGACATACCTACCTCAGTAAAATCACATGAGATCACCAGCCAGGTGTCAAGTAATGGAAGTCCAGGGTCTGGTATGTATTGCCATGTAAAGAGATTCTAAAAGGTAAATTTTTTTAAAATGATAAACATGTTATACTTACCTGCTCTGTGTAATATTTTTGCACAGAGCTGCCCCAGACATCCTCTTCTGAGGTCCCCCACCAGTGCTCCTGGCTTTTCCCCCTTTTGAGTGCCCCCATAGCAAGCCACTTTCTATGGGGCACTCGTTTGGGCCTGATCTAAAGCTAGGCTTTGTATCTATAGACACACACAATGCGGCTCAACCCACTTCCCGCTCCCTCTTCTCAGGATTTGATTGACATTGCTGCCTTACTGCTCCCTCCATGTCCAGTGAGGAGAGAGAGAGCAGTGTTGCTGCTCTTGGGCACAGCGCTGGATCGAGATCAGGCTCAGGTAAGTATTTAGGGGGGAAGGTGATCACATTCGTTTTTTTACCCTAACGCAGAGAATACATTAAGCTAAAAAACCTTCTGCCTTTACAACCACTTTACAGTTTATCTAAAACTTACACAAAAGCGAATGTGGATTGGGGGAAGGAGGCTATTTTTAAGACCCATTATATGTTTTATCATTTATGTCTCTCACATTCAGTTGCATCCCTACTTTCTGATCTTTGCACCATCTTTGAAGGCTATATTATATATTAGTAAAGAAAAATATAAGTGAATATCACTCCAAGAAAAGAAAAGAAATATATTTACAGCTATGGCTTTGTTTAACTGCTTAGCATCAAACTCGGCTGGTGTCATCATGAGTCCCAGGATCAGTTTAGATAAGGTTCCAGAGAGTTCCGACTTCAGATCTGCCATCAGGTCCTACAAAAGGTACAAATACTTTGTAATGACTAATAATACTTTTAAAAAAAACTTTCCTTATAGAGATATTGAAGCTGCCATTGCTCAGTTCTCGATTTACAAATGCTATTTGTCTGGTTGTCAGGCCTATCCTCCTGTTTCAATACTTTAAGTTAGTAACCCTGATGCCGATAAGGATTCCTGCCTTTGCTCTCGATATGACATTGAGTCAGAAATTGCTGACGTTAGGGTATCTGTATGATAGCATTTTCAATCGGAGGTCAGCAATGGCAGCTTCCATATTTCTCTTGGGAATGATCTACTTGAAACACTTATTCACACTGGTCCATCAAGTTACTGAACATACGTTAATTTGCTGTATTTTGAGCATTTTGAGAAGGGCCTACCAATGAACAGCAATGGATATTTAAATCAGACTGTTCATATCTGTACATTGCAGCACCATTGTAGAGTGGGAGGAGGGCCATTGAAAGGGAGTGTCATCCTTAGCTTTGTGTTACTGAGCATTGCATTGATGTGAATTAACATGTTACTATAACACACTAGTGTGAATGGGCCCTTAAATACATGTAATATAACAGTTAACTTAAAGGTAGTTTAAGGTCCTCATCACACCTATGTGTTTTATTGCACACATTTTAATAACATTCAACACAATTACAAAAAAGTTAGGATGCTGTGTAAAATGTACATAAAAACAAAATGCAATGATTAACAAATTCCAAAAACCCTTATATCATCCACAATAGAAAACAGAAGACATTAAATCTTTAAACTGAGAAAAAGCACACTTTTAAGAAAAAGAAAAAACTATTTTGAAAATGATGGCTGCAATACGTGCCACAAAAGTGGAGACACGGCCATGTTGATCACCGGTGTTGTATCCCATTTTCTTTTAACAACACTTTGTAAACATCTGGGAACTAAATAGACCAGTTGCTTGTTGGTTTGGAATAGGAATGTGGTCCGTTTTTTGCCTGATATAGGATTCTAACTGCTCAACAGTTCTGGGTCTGCTTTGTCGTATTTTTCATTTCAAGATGCACTAAATATTTTATTGCTGAAAGATCTGGACTGCAGGCAGGCCAGTTAAGCACCTGGACTCTTCTCCTACACATCCATACTGTTGTCATAGGATGCAGCATGCGGTTTACCATTGTCCTGCTAATATATGCGAGACCTTCCCTGAAATAGATGTAATCTGGATGGGAGCATATGCTGCTCTAATACCTGGATATGTCTTTCAGCATTGATGGTGCCTTTCCGGATGTGCTAGCTGCCCATTCTATATGCACGAATGCACTTCAAACCATCAGATATGCAGGCATCCATGGTTGCAAAAAAGAATGTCAGATTTTGATTTGTCTGACCACAGAACAGTTTCTACTTTGCAACAACCGTGTTTTTTGGATCACGTTCAGATGTGGCCTCTTTGCATGACAAATCTTTACCTTGTATTTTTGGATGGCACAGTGAACTGTGTTCACAGACAGTAATTTCTGGAAGTATTTCTGAGCCCTTGCCCTTGTCCATAACAGAATATTGCCTGTTTGTAGTGGTGCTGTATGAGGGCCCGAAGATCATGTCCCTTGCGCACAGAGATTTCTCCAGATTCCCGGAATATTTTGATGGCATTATGTACTGTAGACGATCATATATTTAAAGTATTTGGATTTTTACATTGAGGAACATTCTGAAATTGTTTGCTCCTCGACGTCAAACAATTTCAGAATGTTCCTCGATGTCAAACAATTTCAGAATGTTCCTCAATGTCAAACAATTTCAGAATGTTCCTCAATGTCAAACAATTTCAGAATGTTCCTCGATGTCAAACAATTTCAGAATGTTCCTGAATGTCAAACAATTTCAGAATGCTCCTTGATGTCATTCTGAAATTGACAATTTTTAGATGCAGTTTTTCACAGATTGGTGATCCCCTGTACTTCTTTACTTCTGAGACACTGACTCTCTAAGATGCTTTTTTTATACCCAATCATGTTACTGACCTGTTGCCAATTAACCTCATTAGCTGCAAAATATTCTTATAGCTGTTCCTGGTTAGTTCCACTAAAGCCAGCCATAGAAGGTTCGAAGCTTGGCCAGTTCAGCAGGAACTGGCCGAGATTCAAACAATCTATGAGCAGGCTGATTGTACCCAAATTGATTGTTGTACGGCATGGGTACAACCAGCCGGTCGGATTCTTCATGTGATTATTACCATTGGCTATATTAACTAGCAATAATCACTGTGTTCTCCTGGCAGGGACAGCTCCCCACGCACCCCCCCTCCCCACCCCAGTCGGGAGAAAGTAATAGCTTTGCTAGAGGGATTCTTACATCATCATTGCCTGTATTGATGGAGGAACCAAGTGATTTTCTTTCCTGCAACCTTGGCTTGCAAAACCACATCTATGGCCGGCTTTACTTGGCCAGCTTTTTGTTGCCCCATCCAAACTTTTTTGAGATTTGTTGCTGTCGTCATTTTCAAAATTACCTATTTTTTTCTTAAAATGGTATATGTTCTCAGTTTAATCATTTTGGAATTGTGATTTTTTACAGGTTAGCCATTGTTTTACCTGGTGCTAGTTCATATCTGTGCAATGCATTGACTTGCACTGTTGGTTTTTGTATGCATAAGTGGGCATTCTAGGGCCTAGTGTTGCAGAGGAAAATGCAAGAGTGTTGATAGCACACATAAAAATATACATGGAAAAGTGTGAATCCAGCCTAAGGGTCTATTTACACATGTCCATTTTCATGCAGCAAAATGCATTTAAAGAAGAACTGTGATTTCTTCGTATGCGGCTGGTTCTCACCTCTGTGCTGCAATTTAGTGTGTTCTAAAAAGAATCTATAAGGGCCTATTCATTCCTACACGTGTATTAGTATACATGCTACAATTTCTAAGACATAAAAACAGACTTACACGTCCAAAGTGTGACTTAAAAGCTTTCCTGATTTCTTGCCTCTGGGAATTAGTGCGCTTAGTCAGTATGTCGATAATAGAGTCCTCATCGGTACCTGCGGTAAAAAACACCTTTATTTAACATACAGCTTCTGCCTCCCTTTCACTTTACTCTGTTTTTTTTCTTGCGATAATGTAAAAAGTAAAGTGCTTTTTTACATTTAATAGTGTATTAATGGATAAAAGAGTTACATTTATTTATATATAATTTATATCTGTCTAGTGTTCAGCTTTAAATCTTTGTAGTTATGACTGTTCATTATCTAGCTTTGTCTGACATTTTGATAAGTGTAACACCCTCTCGTGTACTACTAGTACAGTGTAGTATAGTGTAGGTATGACTCATGGTAGTTGTGTGAATCTGTGATTGAGGTCGGGTTATTGCAGGTCAGATGGATGACTCAAGTTGTGGCTCTATTGGCTCCTCCTGACTCTGGAGGACCATAGAACCTTCCAGAAGTCAGTAAGTAAGAAGGTGTGGAACCTAATCTGCATGTTCATGGGAGTCCAGCCAGTCCTAGGTTTGGGGGCCCTGGTAGAGTGGGGGACTGGCCCATAAATATGGGAGAGTCAGGCTGAAAGAGGAGTCGGGTGGAAGATGGAGTCCGTCATTGTCTGGGAGGGGTCCCTAAGGTCTAGGGAGGATGGCCTTCAGTCTGGGCTTGGGCTGGCTTAGGAGGATGCATTCAGCAGTGAGGCATGAATGGGATCGAGATCTGGAGCAGCAGGAAGCAAAAAGGACAGAGTGAGTACAGCAGCACTCTCTGGGATCTACAAGGGGAAAGACTGCCTCATGTAGCAAGCTTTCTAAGGACAGCGCTGGGCTCAATCCTTTATGCTTGTCCTAGGAGATATTTCGAGAAGCCAGGATGGCTGGTAGTGTTCGCAAGCTGTGGAGCCGTGAGCAGCTCTGCAGGAGGACAGAAGATATCTTTGCATGTAGTTACGAGAAGTTAAGCTGATTTTTGAGGGGCTGCTAGTTCCTTGCCCATAAAGGGCTGTTGCTACTAATCAGCAATGACTGATGGCTTTCAAGAAAAAGAACAGTCCAAGATCTGCCTTTGTACATAGGAAGGAAGTTGTCACCCCTTCACTGATTCAAGCAAACTGGGCATCCCATAATCCCTATTTCCTTATCCAAGCTGATTTCCCCTAATAAAATGACAAAACCAAGCCCACGGACTGGTTACTGTCTCTTGGATGCAAGTCTGTGTGTGAAATAACTGTTGCCTGGCTGTGCAGAGAGAAGCTTATAGGGTACCTACAACACAGCGGCCATCACGAGGGTAGCGCTACAGAAGCAAAATGTTCTCACAGTGGATGCATAAGCTTGTAGACATTCTTACCAAAGCCTTTCATTGCTTTCCTCAAAGCCTTCCCATCATTGTCCGCATTAAAATCAGCAGCAGCAAATATGGTGCCTTTCAACTGAAGGAGAAATTATAGGCATGAATATACAAACCTACTAACAAAGGCTTTCAGTACTGTTCTTTAACTATGTGTTACATTTTCTTGATAGCTTTATGATATGTTACAATCACGTATTAAATGTATACCTTATTAGGCAACTAATTAGGCGTGTTGGAAAGATTTGGGATTGCAGCTTCTTTTGTGGGATTTCCAGTAAAATGTTTATTAAATAGGGATGAAAGATAACCAGGGCTGGGCCAAGGGAGGGACACCTGTCTTGGGCACTTTGCAGGGAGAGGGCATAGCTGAGGAGGGAGCTTCCACGTCCTCCACACTTTGGCATCTTTACCTTGGGTGTCACTAGACCTTGCCTTACCACTGATGGTAACATGTAAAGCACACTTAAAATGCTAAAGTGCTTACAACACAGTATTGCACACCAAAATGCATAGGTATGAATACAGCTTAACTTTAATGAAACTATTTGGTGGAAGTCCAGCTATTTGAGCTCTAGCAATAGACAACTGTCGTGTCACAATAGGTCACCATGGTGTCATAATCACTCAGCCTTGAGTTCTAATAGCTCACCCTGGTGTCATGAGAACTCAGCCTGTTATTATACAATAATATCTTACCCTGTGATATAATACATACTACAGGGTCACAATAGCTGTATAAATGATGCTGGCCATACACTTGTAGATGTCTCTTAATTCTCCTATCCATGTTAAACATGGTGGATGAAGAAATCTGAACTGAATCTTTTGATTTTTCAGTTCAAGTTTGCTGAGGCAGGTGGTGCAGACAAAGTATTTTTGGCCAATTCAGCAGTAATCAGAAGAAATTTGAGACCTGGGTAGCCCTGTTGGCATCACCCAGCTCGATGGATTATCTGCCCTTAAGCCAGGCCATACACAAATTAAACTTCGGTCAGTTCAACAGGGACTATCCATGGGCACTGCGGTTGACTGATCGACTTCTGTAAAACTGCCCTTTCAGATTCTCCCTGCACAATCAGTGCTGCAGGCTATAGCCTGCAATCCTGATCAGTGTATTGTGATGATGGGAAGTCTCAACAAAATGACACAGCAGTGAGGATTCCTCCATCCACCTCAAATGTATAGATGGGGGAATTGGGTCAGTTTTTTTTTTTTGCAATCCACCTGTTAAATGAAAAAACGGACTCATCTATGGGCTGCCTTAGACTAATGTCAAAATAACTTACCCTGGTGTCAATAATAAATTAGCCTGATGAATAATTATTAATCCTCTTGTTACATTAGCTCACTTTTGGCATCATAATAATTTACCCTGGTGTTACAATAGTTTACCCTTACCCTGGTGTAATATTAACTAACTCTCAAATGGCTTATCCTAGTTTCATAGTAACTTATTTTGGCAATATAACATTTTACTCTTTCTCCATACTAACATCCTCATGACCACAAAATAGCACCATGGCTTACCTTTGCTTCAAAAGAACCAGCCATGACTTCAAAATAGTTTACTTTGGCTCTATAACAGCTTACTCTAGTAAACTAATAACTTCATGAGCCATAATCTCTTGTTCACATGCATGGGGATGGAGCATCCCCAACTAAAGGGTAGGGAAGGATGTATTCATCAAAGGCTTAGTTACAGTTCAGTGTTTGTTGTTTATTAGCAGGTAGCAAATAGTGAAGAAACCCTTATACCTAGCATGCCTTTGCTAAACTCTTGTATCACTAATGGATCAATTAATCTAAAGGTTTGATGTTGTGAGACCAGGGATAGTGAAGTCAAACTCCAACAGCAATTTAGAACCCAAAAGAAAGAGCACCCAGAGGTAATGGACACTCAGAGCATCAATTACATTATCTAAAGACCTTTTTCTCAGTTATAAACACATTATTTACTTTATCTAATGAAGGAAGTTGATCTGATTTGCCTCCTTTGGGAAATGTCAGGCAGCCATTCTAGTGTAATGAGGTTTTCTTAATTGAACATCACAGTTTTCTATTCCCAAGTAACTTCAATGCAAAGCAGTAGGCACAAAATGCAAAAAAAGTCTGGCTCAAAATAATAGTGTCCTAGACTCATGAATAACATTGAAGCACAGCGATAAAAGTCAATCAACCTTTATTTGTATTTTGTTTTAATGGCCAATTACAGTAGCTCTGTCCGGGTTATAACTCACAAATCTCCTTTCTAAAAAGAAATCGGTTTCTAAATACTGCTATCATAAATTCTCATAGTATTGGGAAGCGCCACTTCCACTGAAATCATATTTTTATTAAGCAATCATAGGGAAAGCGCACTGCGATTTTCAATTAAAGCAAATCTGAACTGTAAATGAAAACTAGAGGTTAGCCATCAAAATGTTACAGTATATCTAAAGAATGTCCAAGGGTTGGAACTTCTGTAAAGTTTATATTGTTGTGTGTTCCTGTTGGGGAGATCCGCCCAACTATTTGTCCTGAGGACACTGGAACAGCAATTAACGGGGAATCCCAGCTGTTACCTGAACAGAAGGGAAAATCTTCGAATCAGGAAGCCTGTCAAAAAAGGCATTTCCCCTGCCTTTGAGAAGATCCTTAGTTCCTTCTTGTTTTGTGTTTGGGACAGGAAGTAAAGGGAAATCTCAACAGCAATACAGAAACAGCAAAAAACCCCAAAAACTCAAACTGCTTCATACGCTAAGAAAAACTCTTTATACTCATTGCCTACCATGCACAACTGCACCAGATTCTAAGTGCACCAGTTTTAGTAAATCTACCCCATATTGCCTATAATTTATTGAACATAAAAAAGGCATAGAAAATTAACATCCCCGTTACGGCTGCTTCCCATGAATGTACGGAAGATGTAGGTGTAAATATCCCTAAAACCCAATTATTTCAGATGCATCAAAACAAAGGGTGTGCAAAGTGTTACAGATAGTTTTCTTTCAAAAGCAGCTACAGCCTGAGTAGAAGAACCTGTCCCCTGCCTGCATGCTGCATTACACTCTGTGTAGAAGCAGTGGTGTCTTTGTAGAGGTCCTAGTTGAATCAGAGCTGGAACTATCCAATCAGCAGTGAGAATGGGCTTTTGCTGACTGCAGAGCTATAGGTCTGACATTTATTAGGGGTCTAGTCATATGAAAGTAGAAAGACCATGGCTTCCACACATAAAACAAGGGTCCTAGCAGGGGACAGGTTCTTCTACTTCTGACTGTCTGTAACACTTTGCACACCCTTTGTTTTGATGCATCTGAAATTATTATGCAATTTAAACGAAATGATCAGTTGGGCTTTAATCAATAAAACACTATTGCCCACCCAAAGTGATCCATTCACACATCAGAGCTAGTGCCAAAGCATGTTTGCTGGTGTGATCCCAAACTCCTGAATGCATAGTTGTCTTTAAATGACAACCTGTTGCTACATCAAAACTACACTTCTAGTTTTACATCCTTGCTGGTACACAATCAATTGATTCATATTAAAGTATAACTAAAGGCAACCTTTTCTAGTTCTGGATACAGTGAAGATGAATTAGAATACCTGTCAGTTTTTATTGCCACCTGATCCCTCTAGGGAGATTCACTCTATTTGTTCTGATTGTCATCATTACTAAGGGTGAAATTGCAAGAATTTTCCAAGTTTTGGGTTGTCACCAGAACAGGAATAGAGGGGAAATCTTCTAAGAGAGACACTAGTCAAGGTGACTACCAGGAATTTTCTCACTTTGGAGAGATTCCTTCTGAATTGCTTTTTCAACTATGGGGCAGCAAGTGAGAGGAAATCTCCTCAATGGCAAAAAGAACTGACAAGGGTTAGAACCCTCCCTAATCTATTCAAAATTAGAAAAAAAAAAGTCCCTTTACTTCTATTTTAGGGGGTTGGCCATGCAGTTAATGCTATGACAAGGTCACGTGATGAGGAGAGGAACATAATAAAAATATTGTATATATATATATTTTTTTTTTTGTATTGTGCCTGTTAACTACTACTACTAAAGGCAGGTAGTTTCAATTTACAGTTTGGTCTGCTATATTCAGTGTGCTAGAATGTCCATCTGTCATGTCCGTTAGTCCTGGTACAATGGAAAATATAAAGGATAAGTCTGGATTTCTTAGAGACAACATGTTTGTTACTGAGGCTGGACAGATCGATCCTTCAAAAACCACTCCACATTCAATCAGAGTAAACAGACAGAAAGAGAAGTGACCACAATGCATTACTTTTTTATGCCTGAGCCAGAATGCATTGGAAAGACCCAAAGATAACATAAAAGTCAAACAATTACCAGTGCTGTTTTATGAAGAAGCAAAATGTTAGCAGGATATCTAGTACAATTTAGGAAACAAAATTAGATGGTTAGTGAAAGCACGCATGTTAGCTTTGTTTAAAGGAAACCTGTAATGAGAGAACAATGGAGGTTGCCAGTTCTGATCTCCTTCTACAAAATAGCTAGTTACATAGCAATCATGCTGATCATACAACCTCAATCATTTCTGGGTCACTGACCCAGAACAAGCATGCAGATTGAAAGTTCTGACTTTAGTTTGATATCACAAGAGGAATACTTGTTCTGTGATGCAAAAAGTCCAAGAACCAACATGACAGCCAGCATAATACCACTTCCAGAAGGAGAAGAAGAATGGCAATTCTTATTTCCCTCAGTAGAGGTCTGAGGCAAGCAAGCAGCAGAAAGGGAGGCTGTGGTGCTACTAGCTGGGTTAGTGTGGCCTCTAAGCAGTAGGTGCAGTAAAAGAAAAGGGAGATATCATCCTTTGTTCCAACCTCGATGCGTGAAGCAAGTGTCGCACTAAGCTCCCATTTCTGATAGGCTGCTTGGGCGGCTTCTGGGAAAAACTCCCCAGCGGCACTAAAAAATGAAGAGGAACAACTCACAAGGGAAGTTAAGACTGAAATTCTAGAATAATTTAATAACACAGAGTGAGGAACATCAACCCATGGCGGCCAAGACAAATCAGTCAGTTTCCAACCGCTTACCATGACTGAGCAGGTGAAGGCTGACTTCTGATTCTATGGGTCATTGTATACCATCATACAGAACAGTAATTGCATTGAATTAATTTTTCAGGTCACGCTCTGCTACATTAATGGAAGAAAAATATGAAGGCTGCCATTGCTGACTTGTTTCTGAAAATGCTAACTGCCTGTCTGCTGCTTGCATACATTGTGAGTCACTGACCTAGAACAAACTTCTATTAGAAAGTCAAAACCCCTGACCTCCTTATGTTTTGCAGGTCATTAAACCATAAAGTATTATAATCATTGGATCACCATGCCTCCTGGGCTAATAACCTTTTCAGAAGTAGAGGTCAGCAATTACAGCCTACGTACATCTCTTAGTACAGGTTAGCTCTAGGCCACATTTATCCTTGTATCGCATATCTATTATTTACTTATTACAGGTACTTATATAGCACCATCAATTTAAACAGTGCTTTACATATATACAGTGCTGTGAAAAAGTCTTTGTCCCCTTCCTGATTTTTTTTATTTTTTTGCATATTTGTCACACTTAAATGATTCAGATCAAACTAATTTTAATATTACACATTGATAATCTCAGTAAATACAAAATGCAGTTTCTAAAAGATAATTTCATTTATTAAAGGGAAAAAAAGCTGTCCAAACCTGCCTGCCCATGTGTGAAAAAGTAATTGGCCCCCTCCCTAGCTAAATCATGAATGAACTGGGATTACCCACATTTTTTAGAAAGTGGAGTAAAATTTCCACACCCGGGCCTGATTACTGCCAGACCTGTTGAACCAAATAATTAGCTGAATAGAGACTGTCTGACAAAGTGAAACACGCTAAAAAGATCTCAAAAAACAAAGGAAATTAAAGAACAGATGAGAAATAAAGTAATTGACATATCATCCTGGAAAAGGTTACAAAGCCATTTCTAAGGCTTTGGGACTCCAGTGAACCATGGTGAGGGCCATTATCCACAAAGGGAGAAAACTTGAAACAGTATTGAACCTTCAGAGGAAGGGGGAAATACTGTACTTTTTCACAACACTGTATATTGTACATTCACATCAGTCCCTAACCCTCAAGGGGCGTACAATCTAAGGTCCCTAACTTACATTCATACATACATATACTAGGGACAATTTAGACAGGAGCCAATTAAAATACCAGAATGTCTATAAAGAGTGGGAGAACTGATGTAGGCACTGGGAGAACATTCAAACTCCAAGCAGCTAGTGCCATGGTGGGGAATTGAACCACCAACTCTAGTGCTGCTAGGTAGAAGTGCTAACCACTTAGCCACTGTACTGCCCACACTTTTTCATGTGTTTTGAAAATTATTACGATCGTGTACTGTATGTGCTAAATAGTGTGTTGCCATTGAATTTCCATGGTACCCCAACAGACACATGAAAAAACAAACATGTCTGACTTTCAGCACATTGTAAAAGTATGCAGTAAAATGCATTCATTGCTTTGCAGTGTGCTGGAAAAAAAACATTAGTCCAGTGTGTTTTGTGATCCCTGTACATGGCTTAAGAGCCCATTGCAAAATGACGTGATAAAAAATGCGTATTAAAAGAGAAGTGCGGGATTAAATAAAAATAAACATACATACTCACCTAGATGGATGCAGGATCAGTCCCATGCGGCATCTGCCCCCGCTGCCTCTGAGACCGAGCAGTTAAAGACAGCTGATCGCTCAGTTCTCAGTCTTCAGTGAGCAGAGAACCGGTGAGTATCAGTCACCAACTCTCTGCTCTGCCCCTTCAGTGCTCACTAGAGAGATGGGCTGTGGAGGGGGCAGAAAGTGCTGGCTCAGGCTCTCAGCGGTGCGCCGAGAGGCTGAGCCAGCTGCCAGTCCTGGCATCTGGATTGATCCTGTCATTTAAGTTGGGATCTCTCCAGAGACTGAACCATGGACTTTTGCTGCTGCTGGTCACAAGAGTGCAAAATTAAGTGATCCATAAGAGAAGTACAGCCAAAAGAGCTTTGGCACTACTTCTCCTTTAATGTGCATGAAATGTAAATGGACCTTAAAGTGGCATTAAACCCAAAATTAATACTTTATTATATTACAGCTTACCACTTCTTAGATGTGGGGGCTGAATATTTTTGTCAGTCAGCAGCTCCAAAAACAGCCAGTCATCTGTCTCACTATCCAGCGGTGTGTTCACCCCAGCCGGGTTCACCAGTCGTCCTCCCTCCCTGATGCCGGCATCCTAACTGTAGGCACCCAGCTGTGACAGCTTGTGGCTTCACAGCCAGGTGCCCACTGTGCATGCTTGAGCAGTCATGTGCATTGTGAATGGTCCCGCAGTCCTCTGGGATTGCCGAGCGGAAGTGGGAGTGGGCACTTCTCAAAATCGGGTACCTGCTCCCCAAAGATGCCGATTCATCATGTTGAGCAAGGGACCAGTCCCTAAAGTGGAACTTCTCCTTTTGGCTGGAGCTCTGTTTTAAGGATGAGTCATGAGAATCTCTATATGCATGCTTCCATCTCTTTATGTAGACTGGTAGACCAAACAGCAGCTCTGCATATACCGTGCTCAGCATAAGAGTACACACCAACAGATTTGTCAGAAAAACTTTCCTTTCAGAATCAACATTTTCTATGGGACAATATACTACAAAGTACTCCCACAAATGTAGGCCATTGATGCAAACAAGATTTGTTAATTTGCACACACAAAAAAGACCATGTTGCAAAAATGAATACACCTCAATGAAAGTCTTAGGAGCAAAGCTAAATTTTAGACAGCAGAATCCTAATTAACAAGAATTCAACTACAGGTGAGTCTAATTATTCATTAAACATGTGTCCAGCAGACATTTGATTATAAAAGGGCGTTATTTAAAGAAAACCTTCTCAATTTATGCTGTTAGCAATGGCACCACATGGAAGAGAAATGGCACAAGGCGGGAAAGAAAATTTCTTTACACAAGAAAGGTGATGGCTACAAGAAGATCAGTAAAGTTTTACTGAATACTGTTGCAAACGTGATACAAAAATTTAACAAAGATGGAACTGCAACCATCTCACAGAGATGTCCAGGCCATCCATGGAAGTTAACACCTTGATGGGCGTGTCTTCTGATTAGAAAGGTTGAAGAACATTGCCATGCAAGTTCACTGCAGTTAGCTAAAGAAGTAGAAAGCCATGCTGGAGTGATTGTTTCCTGTGATACAATATGGCATACACTGCAGAGGAATGGCATGCATGGGTGTCATCTATGAAGGAAGCCTCCCCTAAATCCCATGTACAAAAAAGCCAGCCTAGAATTTGCCAGGGCCCATGCTGAAAAAGAAGACTACTGGGACTGTACTCTGGAGTGGTGAGACCAAGGTAAATATTTTTGGAACTGATGGCTTCAAAACTGTATGGTGTCCAAAGGTGAGGAGTACAAAGAAAAATGCACGGTGCCTACAATGAAACATGGTGGTAGCAGTGTCCTTCTGTGGGGCTGCATGTGTCGGGGAGCTGCATTTCATTGATGGTATCATGATTCTGTGCCCTTAGTGGTTGTGCACTTTTCCAGCATGACAATGATCCAAAACACACATCTAAGGCCACTGTTGCATTTCTGATGAAGAACCGGGTGAAAGTAATTCAATGTCCAAGTATGGTTCCTGATCTGAACCCAATCAAACACCTATGGGGAATTCTGAAGAGACAAGTTAAGCTTCACTCTCCATCCAGCATCCAGGCTCTAAAAGAGGTCGTTCTTGAAGAATGGAAAAAGATAGTTGTTGCAATGTCACCAACTTGTTCATTCCATGCCTTGAAGACTTGGTGCTGTCCTTACAAATCATGGAGGTCATACAAAATACTAGATGTAGTAGTTTTTGGTGTGGGATGTATTCATTTTTGCAACAACTAATTTGAGTAAAACTGAAGATTTTGTAAACTAGCTTATGTTATTAACCTTACTTTCATGTAATGAGCTGAAACAAATAAAACTCAGTTTTGTCAACATTTTGGAACTTGTTCTTGAGTTCATTGAGAAATTGATTAAAATCTTACTTTTCAAAAGGGGTGTACTCATTTATGCTGAGCACTGTACATCAGGCACCACAGTACCAACAATACGGCACTCCTGGTTCAATGTTTTAACATTTTAGTTAGTAAAATAGATGTGATATAGTAGAGAGGAGCCTGAACAGGGGGGCATCAGTATTTACATATGTTATTTAATAATCATTTAGGAATGTCAAAAACAGTGACCAGTAACATAAAAACAGATTCAAGCATAGAAAGACATCCAAATATGAGAAACTGTAAAAAAACTATAAACTGCATTCTGTAATACAATACTATGTAAGCAGTTGATACATACTCATCATCTCCTCCGCACAGGTTGAGCAGGGCCTTCTTGTACTCACCGGATGTGTCATTCTGAAATAAAACAGCACATAGGTGAATAAACCTTACAATAGATCCAACCAAAATGTTTCTTCTAAAGTCTTCTAAATGTGGCCAAGCATGTGTCAGCAGAGAGAAGAGTTTCTATACCATTTCTGCAGTAGATTGAACTTGCCTCATTTCCGAGATGGAGGTCCAGCACCATCTAGCCCTTTCTCACCTACTGAACTGTCCCTGGTCTGCTCCTTTTATTCATTGGATTTTAGTTCCATCATTGAGGCTTAGCAACACATGTGGGTATTACATAAGGGTTTCTGCTTCTCAGGAAGCTATGTGCAGCCCCTCCCACCAGCCATAATCTGCCTGTATTGCACAGAGAAACCCAGAGACCAAGTGATGGCGTTACTAGGTCTAAAATAAAGCATAATGCAAACAAAGATTTGTTTTTAATCATGTCATTAGCATATTAATGAAGGGGGGGTCAAGGAAGGCAAAATATAAGCAATTGAGTTAGAACAGAAGGTATTTACATGTCTCATTTCATCACATATCCTAAAAATAAAGTATTATTTTTAAGACACTGGGGGCACCATGCAGGCCATTAATTTATGTCCCAAATGCCAAAAGTACATCTAGAATTGTTAGTGTATTGTGAAAATATAGCTTAATATTACTAGTGTATTGTGAAAATATAGCCTAATATTACTAGTGTATTGTGAAAACAATTCCTTGCTAAATTATTGTGCAACTCCCTCTTTTGCCCAACAATTCTTCCTCCATGCTACAGAAATCGCTAATGCTACAAATTAACTGAAAGGCTGCCACTTAAAAATATTCAAATCATATAAGCTAGTTCCTTATATATATCCAATAGTGAACTGTGACACTATTCTATGTGTCATACATATTTTAAACAATCAACAATGAAAGATAAATACATTTAAATTGGAGAAGATTGCAGTCACACATGTTTAATGAACGGATTGGACATTAATGGGACTTTTTGCACCACTACAGCACTGGTGGACATAGTTACATAGTTAGTCTGGCTGAAAAAAGACAAAAGTCCATCCAGTTCAACCATAAAAAAAAAAAAGTTATGATCCTACACCCACAGTTGATCCAGAGGAAGAAAAAAAACCATCAAAGCACGATCCAATTTGCTTCTGCAGGGAAAAAATTTCCTTCCTGATCCCCAGAAAGGCAATCGGATATTCCTGGGATCAACTTTACCTATAAATGTTAGTATCCAGTTATATTCTGTGTATCTAGGAAAGAATCCAGGACTTTTTTAAAGCAATCCACTGAGCTGGCCAGAACCAACTCTTGAGGGAGCCTACTCCACATTTTCACAGCTCTCACTAAGAAGAAACCTTTCCGTGTTTGGAGATTAAATTTCTTTTCCTCCTCTTGTATGGACTATTTAAGTTGTATCTTCATTGTTTATTATTATTGGATATTTATTTTCATTGTTGATTGTTTGGGAGATGTATGACACCTAGAATAGCGCCACAGTACACTATTGGATATATAGAAGGAACTAGCTTATATGATATTGTGAAAATAATAATAAAGTAATTTATTTCAAACTACATTCAGATGGTTTAGACTTTTTGGCTATCACAGCAGTGCAAGGAATCCATCACTTCTTTGACGTAGGGCTTGGGACCCAATGAGAAGGTATCATAATTTAGATTATGGCGAGTCCTTACTAGAAATACTGCATGGTATATTATTAGGAGCCTGGCAAGCTGCATTGTTCAATAGTAATTAGATTACCTTGATCATAGAGTACAAAGACTTTTCATACTGAGTCCGGAATGACTCCCTAATGTCCATCATATCGATCTCACTGCGTGACACCATAATTCGGATCAGGGTATTGTCTGAAGTGCCCAGACCCTAAAAAATAAAATTAAAAAAAAAAAAAAGAATAATTGCTACAATTCTAAAAAGATGATAATGTTCAAACAAAAAGGTATAATTACAACAAAAAAAACGATGCCAAGAAAATGTCATGCCTATTTCATTCATGGTCAAACAGGTAGTTCAGTTAGCAAGAAATACAGAGAATTACAAAGTGCTAAAATACAAACCATTAGAAATCCAGTGTGTTAAGGAAATGAGCACATATTCTGTTATGAAACACACTTAAATGGGTATTAAACCTAAAGACAAAAATGTAATATATTGCAGCCTACCAAACCTTAAAGGTGATGGCTAGACCAGTTTTCTTTTTTAGGCTTTTTTTACCCTTTTATATTCATCTAGTGATTCAGCCAGTAACACTTTCTATATTAGGGTGTCTCCACTCTGGATGGAGGAACAACAGAGACACCTTTGGACATCAGTGTTATCCGTCTGGGGGGAGGTTAGTGTTATATACACTAGCAGATTTAGTTTGACTTCACTAACAAATCAAAATTAAACTCTTAGGCTAGGTTCACACCTATACAGTTTGCATTTGGTCCGTTTCTGTATTGTGTCTTACGGTTTTGCACATGCATTTTTGCTGCATTTTGAGTTTTTTTTTTAAACTTTTTGCTCAGTAGATTAAAATACAAAACACAAAAAAAACACATTAAAAAGCACTGCGTGCTTTCCTGCAGTGTCTCCACTGAAGTCTATAGAACCAAAAATGCAACGTTTTGCGTTTAAAAAAAGTCCCTGACCCTTTCCAAAAACACACTGGGCGAAAATGCGGAGATGCGAACCTGTCCCATAGGAAATCATGGTAAATGGACTGCGGTGCGTTTCCGCAAAACAGAGCGAAAACGCAGAGATGTGAACCTAGACTAACACTTTTTAAGCAGTTACAGCAACAGGTTTTGATCCTTTTGTGTCAAAGGTTTTAAATAAATGAATAAAAGTTGACCATTGTAAGCACCTCTGTGTGTTAAAAAGTTTATTTCAATTCTCCAAATGCCATTTTTGCCAAACCATTAACCAGTTCAGGCCATTTCTGACATCCCTCTCCAATATAATTTTTTTTGCTAGAAAACTTCTTAGAACCCCCAAACATTATATATTTTTTAGGCAGAGGCCTTAGAGAATAAAATGGTGGGTGTTGCATATTTTTATGTCGCATGATATTTTTGCAGTGGTTTTCCAAATGCAAATTGTTTGGGAAAAATACGCTTTAACTGCTAGCCTACAGGGCACTTATACCCCTTCCTGCCCAGGCCAATTTCCAGCTCTCAGCGCTCTCACACTCTGAATGACAATTGCGAGGTCATGCAACACTGTACCCATATGACATTTTTTATAATTTTTTTGTGACAGATAGAACTTTATTTTGGTGGTATTTAATCAACTCTGGGTTTTTTATTTTTTCTTAAACTAAAAACTACAGAAAATTTTGAAAAAAAAAAAAAGTGTTCTTAGTTTTTGTTATAAAATTTTGTAAATAAGTGATTTGTCTCCTTCACTGATGTGCGCTAATGAGGCTGCAGTGATGGCACGGATAGGCTGCACTGATGGACACTGATAGGTGGCACTGATGAGGAGGCACTGGTAGGTGGCACTGATGGGCATTGACATGCATCACTGATGGGAACTGAAAGGCAGCACTGATAGGCGACACTGACTGGCACTGATAGGCGGCACTGACTGGCAGCACTGATATGTGGCATTGATAGGTGGCACTGACAGGCACTGATGGGTGACACTGAAGGCAGCTCAGATGGGCACTGATATGTGGCATGGATGTGCACTGGTAGGCACTGATATGTGGCACTGATGGGCACTGGCACATGGCGCTGCTCGGCACTGACAGCTGGCACTTCTGGGCCACACTGATCATCAGGGCACACTGTACATGTCCCCTCCACGGAATGCAGATTACCGGCTCTCCTCTCGAGCTGTCAGTGTGACATCTCGTGAGGAGAGAAATGCCGATAACCGGCACTTCGCTGTTTACATGTGACCAGCTGTGATTGGACACAGCTGATCACATGACCGAGCCGACATCTTTGGCTCTTTCCGTGGATCGGTGATCCGCTGTGTCCAAAGGACGCTCCCTGAGCCTCGCATGCGCAGTGAGCATGGCAGGACGTCATATGACATCCTCCCAGAACAAGAGAACCACCTTGCGCCCGTCATTGGACTATATGGTGGGTGGGAGGTGGTTAATGACTTTTAATGCACAAAAACACAATAGAATACCCATTTTTTAGTAACATATAAAAGTGACGTTACACCCAGTAAATAGACACCATACATGTCATGCTTTAAAATTGCGTCTGCCCATGGAACGGCACCAAACCACGGTACCTAAAATTCCCTACAGGCAACACTTTAAAAGACTTTACAGGTTACCATTTTAGGGTTACAAAGGAAGTCTGGAGCTAGAATCTTTGCTCTTGCTCTGACGTTCGTGGCAATACCTCACATGTGTGGTGCGATCACTGTTTACATATACACGGGAAGACAGTGAGCAGGCAGGTGGGGGCATATTATTGAACAAGAGACAGTGCATGTCTCTTCTGCAATAAAAGGCTGCCTGCTCGCTGTTTCTTACAATGTTTTGCTTTAAAGGAAAAAAATAAAACAAATGAAGCCACCATATTGAAGATTTGATAAGCAGCAATATATTACATTCTTGTTTTTAAGTTTATTACAGCTTTAGGATGAACTAGATCAGTAAAATACCATCTTAAAATAAAAAAAAAAAAAAAACCTGTGCAAGGTTTATAAATGTTATACTAGCCCAAAAAGACCCTGTATTACAACTAATTCATTAGTCAAACCAAACATTTTTCTAGCTCCACCCACTGATATTGCTATATATGGCAGAGCTAAAAACAGTCATGTCATTGATTATACTACTTCACTTACTTTCATTGATTTGTACAATCTGGTAGCAAAGTAGTCCTTGGTGCTACGAATACATTTTACTGAAAATAAAACATAATATGGGTAAATAAATAGGTAGAATACAGTTTTGGTGCACACATATTTTTGCAAAGCATATTATGTGCTCGCAAATTGTTTGAAATACATTTATCTCAAGAAATATACATAAGCTGTTACATTCAACCTCCTGAAATCGTAGTTGTAAGATTGCCATCTAGCTTTAAGACAAGGAGCTCTAAGTTCACTTGCCGCTTGCTTGTTCTAGCTCAGTGACTTGTAGAGCACTAAAATCAGAGTATCAGTATAACACACAGGCAACTACCATTTCCGATTAAGTACAACAATGTTAACCTATGTGTTTTGGCTACATCAGGCTTCTTTATGGGTGGATTTGGCCATGTCCATTCAAGTTGTTGAGCTGACTATTGGATGGATGATAAGGTGTACAGTGTCATCTAGTTCAGCCTCTCTCAACCAGGGTACCCAGGCAAAAACACTACAAAAAACGGTCACTGCCCCAGTCTATAACTGGCCTTCACAGCAAGAAGTACATGGACGGGGGACGCATGTCAAACACCAAAAAGGAGGGGTGGGCTCCCTCAGGTCCACCTGTCCCTGGTCTATCCATTAAATACATGTGCCTCTACTATGGGGGCTCTTAAATTTGTAGAGTTGGGAACTACAGAATACTGGGGTGCCATGATGAGGCTCTGTAGCTTATGCATGTATTTGCAAATGTGTGCTAACTAAACCCCTGTTATTAATGCATACTGCTAGACAGGTAAATTCGGTTTGTTTGCAGGCTGGCAAGTTAGAGCTGGGAATTTTTCTGTTTTGTTGTTTGATGTGCGTCGCCCATCCATGTGCTCCTTGCTGTGAAGGCCAGTCAGACAGTGACCGTTTTTTGTACGGTTGAATTGCTGGTCGAGGGGGCGCACTGGACACCCTATCTGCCATTGTGCTACATGCTGGGTGTCCAGTGCACTCCTGTACCTTTAAGGAAGGGTGGGCTCCCTCAGGTCCTCCTGCCCCTGGTCTATCATTAAAAAAACGGTCACTGCCCCAGTCTATAACTGGCCTTCACAGCAAGGAGTACATGGACGGGCGACACATGTCAAACACCAAAAAGGAGGGGTGGGCTCCCTCAGGTCCACCTGCCCCTGGTCTATCCATTAAATACATGTACCTTTACTATGGGGGCTCTTAAATTTGTAGAGGTAGGAACTACAGAATACTGGGGTGCCATGATGAGGCTCTATAGCTTACGCATGTATTTGCAAATATGTACTAACTAAACCCCTGTTTTTAATGCATACTGCTAGACAGGTAAATTCGGTTTGTTTGCAGGCTGGCTGGCAAGCTAGAGCTGGGAATTTTTCCTTTTTAGGGTACTCAGGCATCTTGGGAAAATGTCTAAAAATTGCCCAAAACTTGTATCCATGCCAGCGGGTGGAACGAGCCTGCCTTTTAGTTACACCAAGTCACAGGTTTTCATTGTGCACCACTGCGACCTTCTAGCTGCCAGCATCCTGACAACCAACGACATCATCAGTTGATAAGGAGAATGTCAGCTGCCTGCACAGTATCCTAGTTTGGCTAGCATTAACTCAGTGATGGATAAAAACTGAGGGAGAAGAGAAAAATTGAATACTAGTCAGTACCAGTGTGCAAAAGTGTTTTTGCTTTGGAAGAATAAATCACCTCTAATGTTGGGTGTCCTACATGTGTGGACATTGCTACATTATATAAAACTATTAGAATTGTTTTTCACATATTAGAATGTGGTGCCCTTTTAAAATTATGGACAGTCTTGAGGCGCCCCATTTTAAAATGGGGTGCCACAAGACTGTCCATAATTTTAAAAGGTGCCTCGGGATTGTTCATAATTTTAAAGGGTGCCTTGTCTGGAAAAAAGTTGAGAAACACTTGTCTAGTTGTTGATTTCTCTTTAGGACATCACCTTCCGTATCTCCTCTGGAAATCAGTTCAAAAGTTGAAGTGGCTTATATAACTCAGAATCAGACCCCATTCACACTTGGGGCGCCTTTCAGCTCAAAAATGCTCAACATGTAAAATCCTATTATTTCCATTGGCCCCTTGTTCACACTTGAGCGTTCTGTCGTCTGTAGCAAAACGCCTGTCGTTCAGAAATGTAATTGCGCTACTTTTCAGGCAGATCTGAGTGTTTTGTCCCCATAGACTTGAATAGAGAACAGTGGGAACAAGCATTTTTCATGGACTTTTCCAGGCGTTTTCAGCTCAAACAGCAGCTGTTTCTTATTTCTATTCAGCATAGCAAAAACACCTAACTGAAAAACACCTATAATATTTGCAAATCTGCTCAAAGACGCCTGAAAAAAAATTGCTTGAAAAAATGCCTGAAAAATGCTCATCTCAGAGTGAATGGAGCCTTACTTTCAGGCAAAGGGATAGCAAAGGACTTACCTACAGCCAGCATCAGCTTCTCAAAATCTCCAGATAGTTCCCCCTTGATACTCTCCTCAATACTCTTCCCAGCAACTTTCTCATAATCATCAAACACTGCAAGAGAATACACTTTTAATTAAGGAACAATAAACCTAAAATATAACTATCGAGATATATATATAGATATATATATATATATATACACATACATACACACACACAAATACATATATACACACACACACAATATCTATCTATCTATCTATATATATATCTATATATATATATATATATATATATATACACACACACACACACACACACACACACACACACACATACACATACATACATATACACACATACACATATATTTGTAAAACTTCAATTTATTGAGCGCACATAAAATGTGGAAAATCCACCCACATTTTGGCTTATTGCTTATTAGCAGTGGTTTGGAGAGCAGAGCTCTTGAAACTTCTTTCAGGAAACCAAGTATACTGCTTGACTTTTCCAAAAACTCATTGATATCCAATGGACTTTTTATACCACGATGCAAAGTACTGCTTTTGCAAAACAGAAGTCAAGAAGTTCTCTTGAAGGTGGTAGTCACATAGGTGGTCATTCTCACAGTTAAAGCGACTGGCTGGTAGAGTTTCCATTTGATCAGCAAGAGTGGGGTGGGGTGGGAAAGGTCTTAGGAGTGAAATGAAGACCCATGTCAATTATTACGGTTTTAGACCCGATGCTTTGCTTCAGATGCAGTATTAAAGCAGAACTCCAGACAGACAGCTAAATTCAGTTTACATCTGTTTGTGTAAATGTTTTTTCATGTAAAGGAGTTATAATTCTGTACAGCCAGCCCTGTGCAATATACACTGCACATCTACCACTGTACATCACAGGCAGCTAAGCTGCACCCGTATTTTCTGGTTTCATGATGCAGATTCCTGTATCAATTCTCGGTCTCCTGTCCACTTACTGGACCATGAATCGGCTGCATTACATGAATCCCTGTCCTCAATACCATATTGTAGATTGACGCAAATTGTGTACACAGAAAAACTGCAACTTGATACACATAATGTAACTGGATACTAACATTTATAGGTAAAGTTGATCCAGGGAATATACAATTGCCTCTCGGGGGATCAGGAAGGAATTGTGTCCCCTTCAGGAGCAAATTGGATCATGCTTTGCTGGGGGTTTTTTTTTTTTGCCTTCCTCTGGATCAACTGTGGGTGTAGGATTATAATTTTTTTTTGTTATGGTTGAACTGGAGGGAATTTTGTCTTTTTTCAGCCAGACTACCTATTTAACTATGGAGAAACCCACCAAGTCTGAGATGGGAGTTGCTCCTGCTTCCCAAAATGTAGATGAACTGAGCCTCATCTGTGCCCCATTTTTGTTCTCCAGCTTCATGTAAATCCTAAACGCAAATGAAAAAAAAATATTTATCTGCATGATGAATGTGAGAAATACTAACATACATATAAGGGAACATAAACAGGGGTGCACCATGCTCATAAACAGCAAACAGACTATAAGTTAATTATGTGACACACAACAGATAACCAGAAGCTACAGTAGTTTTTGCATTAACAGACACAGTTAGCAGCACTCAAATTTTCCTCCAATATTAGCCCTATTGCCCATCACGCAGTCAGGAAGCCATTGGGCAGCAGAGTTGTAGCAGGGTGCTGGCACTGGAATGTTCTCTGCAACTTTCCCTGCCAATGTGGGTACAGGAGCTGAGAGGTACTGGCACCAGTGCTAGAAGTTATTGTGTCCATTGACACCAGTGCTGGAGGTAATAATTGCATCTGTTGACACCAATGTGGGGGAGGGGGGGTTATTATTGTGTCCACTATTACCAGTACTGGGGGTTATTACTGCAGCCAATGAAACTAATGCTGGGGGCTATTATTTAAAATAGCAATACTAACAATAGTGATTCTATGCACAGTAGAAAGTACAGTAAGCCATAACAACCAACATTTTACTTTTTATGGTTTTGAAAAGGTCCAAAACAATAAAAACAAAAAACAATTTACAGTCACGTGACCTTTGTCTATGGGTTTTTGAATTCTTGAAGGGAAAAACAAAGAGTATACTTTCAGCTACTTTAGTAGTATTTTGTGACCATAGGTCCTTGAAGCCTAGATGTCCCAACTTAATTTTACAGCATCAGTGTGCTTCAGTTAACTTGGCTGTAACGCAAATAGTTTAAGAATTTTCCTGCTTTTGTTGACAAAATTGACAAAGTAAAAACATATTATGAATTATATATAATTAAAATAATATTTGTAACTTTTTAAATACTGTAATTGTATCAATGGCACACGGCCATCCTCAGGCTGCAGTGGAATCTGCAAGGTGAAAGTTCATGGCTTGTGAATGAACCCTCAGTCTGCATGTGGTCAAATGTCATAGCTAACAAAGTGATCACATGATCAGGATTTATTCTGATAGGATTCCAATGGTTAACGGGACCTTGGTTATCAATGACAGTTGGGTCTGACAGCTTGCAGCTGCGCATAGTTTTGGTTGCTAGGTGTCAAAGGAGATTGTATAGTAATATTCCATACATTATTCTACAGATTGCAGACTGTACGGAGTTAAAGAGCAGTAAAGCACAAGAACTGTGTTGCATCGCACAACTGTAAGGAGTGTCTGCATATGAAATGAGCAAATATGGCTGCTTCCAATGAGAAATCTATATTTTGTTGAAATTTGAAACATTTTGAAAACATTAATATACAATAATATTTGTATTAAGCAAGCTTTTCTCATTAACACATTTATTAAGAAAACTAATTGAAAAGAGTATATTTTTGCATTAAATGCAGCAATAACACTTTTTTTTAATCAAACAAACATTACCCTGGCATCTTGTTCTACTAATTCATCGCTCACAATATCATCCTCTTCCCGTGTCCCCTGCAGTCAAATAAAAACAGCACTGTGAATCCTAAATTCTTTGTTATCAGTCATATCTTTTACTGTGGATAGGAGTCTAAGTAAAGTACAGAAAAATCAAAAACATGCACATTTACCAGCAAGAACTATAAAAAAGAAAATATAGTCAAAAATTATGCCTAAAAATGCATAATATAAAACTAGCAAATCAATCTGGACCTTGCTAGAATTCACACTGACCTGTGCTCCAGAAATAAACTGTTAGGCACCATTCCCATTATGCATTGCTGTAGTGCATGTGATTTACAGTAACTGAACATGTTACAATGCATTAAGGTGTACTGCATTAAAGTGGACCTGAATGCCAAACGTGATTTGCTATTGTAGCACTAACCCCCCAGGGGTTTCTGATGAATTTGGGTCCCCCCTATAGCCCTGCACAGCCAGGCAATCTGCATTCTCCACACAAGCTTGCATCTAGAGTCAGAAAATCAGTCCTTGAGCTTTGGGTTTGTTGTTTATTGAGGGGAATTTTAACTGGGATAGGGTAAGGGGGATATAGGATGCCCAAGGGAACGTATAATCGAGGACAAACTTCCTAGAACTATTCACAAGCATCTCTCCTGTAATACAGTCTCTGTTGGAGTACTAGCCAGCATCTCCTTTTTGTACCACCCCAGACCCTAGATGAAAGTCTCCTCTTCACCCAGCAATTTGGAGACTTTTCCTGAGCAAGAAGATCTGGCTCCTGTCCCTATAAATGGGTAAACAGTCACTAGTAGGGGACTAATCTGGTTTCCCATCAGAGTGCTGCTTTCCCTATCCACCCAGGGGCTGCAGGTGTACTCACTCAGATCCTCTCCTGTACCGCTTGTGGAATGGCTGCTGCTACCAGGCCTATCGGCTGGGCTGCTCCTTCCCTGTCATACAGGTGGTATTTGCTCAGGGGGCGAGTGAGCTCACAGTTTTCCGCCTTTCCCGCTCCAGGCTTGCAGGCAGGTCCCATCCCATGGGTCTTCCTGGCAGCCTTCTTCCTCATCCTCAAGCCTCACATATCCCTCAAAACTCTCTACACCTCTCCCACCACACACTCCTGCTACTGAGCATGCTCCAACACTTTTAAAGGAGTCTAGCCCCTTGCCAAGCCTTCTGTTGGGGATTGGCTGAGGTCCCTCAAGAGTGCAGACAGCTACTCCTCAGATCCACCCACTGCCTCCAAGGCCCTCCTTCAAAAGCCTCAAAAGCAGAGGGAAATTCCAGAGGGGCTGGCCTGCAGAGTCTCTCAGCCCTGACCACAATCTGACTCCTCTGGCTATTACACCTGAGTTGCTAACCAGCTCCTGTCTAACCATTAGGATCTAGATCCCCCTAGCTAAACAAGGAGGGTGTTACACTATTATCCGGAACATTTAGAAATTATAACTTAAAAATGTAGCTTTTGTCTATAATTCCTCCTGAAAAATAGCTGTGCACTTCCAGATATGTGAATGTGCCTAGGCACTCCTGTACCTACAGCCTCAAAGCTGTATATCTGTAGTATGAGATCTAAGGCACTGCTGTCCCTGAATGCTAGTTTTGTATAATTTGTTGTGAGATTTGGTAATGTCACTGCCAGAGACGTCACTAGGGTTGGTGTCACCCGATGCGGTAACATGTGGTGTCACTCCTCCAGAGGTGGGCGATCCCTGTTGTACACACACACACGCTAGTCTCTCACCTCTGTCCGCTCTCCGTGTCCGGCTCCTCTCACAGGTCAGGGGCCCTGACCTCTGTCCGCTCTCCATGTCTGGCTCCTCTCACAGGTCAGGGGTCCTGCTATACTTCTCCTGCGCCCTGCACACACCTTCAGTGCTCCTGTCCTGGGGTTGAGTGTGATGTGCTGGCAGCCCCCTCCTCCCGCCCTTCTCCCCACTGTACACAACTGACAGCTCTCTGTACATTATTGGGGAGGATGACACACAGACGGGGGGGGGCTTTAACAAATTTTCTTCTTTACATTTTGGTGTCACCCCTTGTGATGGTGTTACCCGACCCGCACCCCCCTAGTGACGCCACTGGTCACAGCTATGCTAGTCATAAAATTCTGCCTCTACCAAGATGGTCGCCTCGACACAGAGAGAGTGCAAAATAAGGTATGAGTCAGTAATGTGAAAATCCAGCTACAGGGAGACTGCATGTAATACTAGGTAACACTGCAGGTGACTATTCCTTTGGCTCTTGCCTGCGTTTTTGAGCACAGCTTCCAGAGCTAATTTCCTCCTTTCTTTTCCACTAGCAGCCCATTCATTATGAATGGGCTAGTGGTGCCCTCTCACATATGGCAAAAAGGAGCTGATTTTTTAACACAGGCAACACATGGCGTGTACATTGTAATACATTTTGGCTGTGTTGTCTGCAACTGTAATGGTGCCTTGGAGTTCCATTGAAAATTAATATCACATAGATGCTAAACACCAGGATCCACACGTTCCCTTGCATTGTGGTAAAACATGCATAATGTAAATGGACCCTAACTTTTGATTTGACAGATCATTTACAGGCCCAAAAAAAAAAAAAAAAAAAAAAAAATTGTATTGGTTACCTGCAACAGGACAATTAACATCTTCTTGAAGTGTCCGCTGGTATCTTTGACCACATCCGTCTCCAGGTCTCTGTCATAAGCTGTAAGAATGCAAAAAATGCTGAACAGTAAGTATCTGAATGGTAAGCCAAGTTAAGACTTTTGTAAATTATTATGGTAAGCTTCTCTTCTCTCTCTCACCATCTTTATAGGCCTCTACCAGTGCGTGAATCTGCTGGTTAGTCCGAGAGGCCAGGATTTCAATGAGACATTTCTCATCAGTTCCAATACCCTGAAATACATTGTCACACAAAGTTAGTCATCAGAAAGAAGAGGAGATTAAGGGGGGATATGATCTCCATGTATAAATACATCAGTGGTTCATATAGTGAACTCGGTGAGGAAACCGGAGTACCCGGAGGAAACCCACGCAGGCACAGGGAGATCTCAATAAGTAGTCTCCACCTGATGCTGGTTGCTGGGAAGGTATACAACCCCCTTGATTTTCATCAGTGCTTCAGTGTTTTACCTGTTCACATTATAGCTGCTTACTACAGTAATTATCCTGATCCCTGCCTTATCCTTTATCCTGTCCCCCATATCTGCTTCCATTGTTCACAGTCCCAGTCTTGGTCATGCCATGTTATGTCAACTTCCCTCCATCTGTATATAGGGCTTTATAATTAGGTTGTTGGTTTGGTTGTGTTTCACTGTCACGTTTACAGTAGTTTTGCTTATGGTCTGTTAGCATTGGATTGGTGTTGTGTGCATTGATAAACTTTATTTTAATCTAACCCAGTCTGATTTCAGTTTCCTAAGAACAGCTGCTGCTGGATACCTGCTTTTGGAATTCCTTACATGGCGTCAATAGAGGGTGCAAGGCATTATTGAATCTCCATGTCATTGGAAGGTAACCTGTACCCACACGTACAGTGCAGGGGCACAAAACAAAAGTCACTGAGAGGAGCAAAGTAGATAAGTAGTGTAGGTTGCATAAACTTATGAAGCCAAAAACATAAGCATTGTGGAATATAAGAAAGAAAATCCACATGTCTACTAGGTAACGGGTCAAATAGACTAAGGAATATTTATGGGAAGATTTAGCTGTAATTTAAATTTGGACAATAAGGATATAATATTCTATGGTCCCACTGTATGTAGGAATGTAGCCACTCTGTCTTGTGTTCCCAGTGTGAACTATAGACTATGGGATCTGTAGTGTGCATAGACCAGTGCCCATGACCACAACTAACACGCGCTACTCATTCCGAACAAATAGATTATTGTTTATTATCATTATACAGGATTTATATAGCACCAACAGTTTGCTCAACACTTTACAATATAACGAGAGACAATACAGCAACAATACAGTTCAATACAAGAGGAAGAGGAGCAGGGCCCTCCTATCTCTTGTATTGAACTGTACTGTTGGTGCTATATAAATCCTGTATAATAATAAACAATAATCTATTTGTTTGGAATGAGTAGCGCATGTTAGTTGCTGTCATGGGCACTGGTCTATGCACACTACAGATCCCATAGTCTATAGCTAACTTTGGGAACACAAGACAGAGTGGCTACATTCCTACATACAGTGGGACCATAGAAAATGAATGTAGCCACCCTCTAACAGGAAGTCAGATCAGAGCAGCAGAAAAAATTTTTTAGAGATTTGGAGGAAAACTGAAATAGAAGGTACATTTTTGTAATAAGAATACATACTTGAATAGATATTTTTCATACAAGAGTTTAATGTCACTTTAATGAAACTTTAAGTATGAATCTGCAAAAATATTTTAAAGTGTAGCCTTTATTAGCCGGAGAATAGCCTCATTCAGATTCGGGTATAACTACAAAATAAAAATCAGTTGACTGTTAAAAGATCGAATAGAACAGCAGGTCTTGCTGCCCTCTGCAGTACTTCTTTTTTGTCACTAGATGCCCCCAGTCTTCTAGATAAACTCATTGCCAGTGGGAAGGCATCATGATATGATATATGATATATATGATATGATATAATATAACATGATATGATATAACATGATATGATATAACATGATATGATATAACATGATATGATATAACATGATATGATATAACATGATATGATATAACATGATATGATATTACAAAATGCTTCAAATCCAAACACCAAATGAACAAAGAAAGCAAATCCACAAATGAACAAATCTGGGGATCACTTTAGCATTGTTTATTATCTACACACAAGGTACTGCATGTTTCCATTTTTTGTGGGTTGAAAATGCATAATTTAGGCAATTGTGATTTATGTTTATAGTGCAAATGCACGCCCTTACACAAGCACTATTCAATAAGGACCATCCACTGCCTTAAGGAAAAGACAAAGGACCAATGATGTAATCGGATTAGCTAGAAGACCCTTGAAAAAAGGTATGTATGTATATAATAATGGTAAAAAAAGTGGTTTAATCCATATGACTCAAAGGGTAGGCATATCCTGCATGCTTTTGTTTGTTATTTTTTGGTATTCTGAGTTTTCTGAACATTTATCTTTTTACAACCTAATGATCATGTAGCTGTGTAACAATCCTGATAAAAGTATTATTTTTTATGCCAAATGAGTCTTCCAGTAATGTAGAGCACTCTGCCTAAAATATACTTCTCACAGGGGCGGACTGACAACTCATAGGGCCCCCGGGCAATAGGGGATCATGGGGTCCCTGTGTCCTTGCCCAAACTCAAAAAAGCCTATGAAAAAGGTACCAGGGGCATCTCATGGGGCCCCCTACTGACCCCAGGCCCTCGGGCAGTGTCCGAGTTTCCAAATGGTCAGTCTGCCCCTGCTTCTTCATATTAAAATACTTACATCAATGGCATCTTTAATCTCCTTGGCATCAGCATAGGCTGGAGGTCTCATCAGTCCTACAATAAGCCTCTCAAATTTCCCAGTGAGCTCATACTTCAAGTCATCAATGAGGTCCTAGTGACAAAAATTCACATCAGATATACATGCCAAAAGCTAAATGTTTAATTTATTTTATACATCAACACATTCAGCAATGCTTTACAGAGGACCAAAGAACTCTGTTTTCGAATACCCCCCCCCCACCATAGTCATTGGTATAGACACTCTGTTTAGCCAATGTGAGCAGAATCAAATACTCCAGCAGTATGCGTTATCCACAGAAAGACAATGCAAATTTGGGTAGAACATACAAACACCATCAGACAATGTCAAATTTGGAAACCAATTCCAGAAATGTATGCTCTAGGCCAGTGTTTTTCAACCTTTTTTGTGCAAAGGCACACTTTTTTCATGAAAAAAATCACGAGGCACACCACCATTAGAAAATGTTAAAAAAATTTACCTCTGTGCCTATATTGACTATATATAAAGTAATTCTCTTGAATAGGAATCAAACACAAAGAAATTATTTTATAATTACTTTATTATGAAATAATAAAGTATTTTATAATTGGACCCGGGGGCCGGACCAAGAGTAGATGAATGATGTGTATGTGTCATCCATAGTAAGTATAGTAATATTCCCCCATAGTAAGCATAGTAATTAATCCCCCATATAGTAATTCATCCCCCATAGTAATTAATCCCCCATATAGTAATTCATCCCCCATAGTAATTCATCCTCCATATAGTAATTCATCCCCCATAGTAATTCATCCCCCATAGTAATTAATCCCCCATATAGTAATTCATCCCCCATAGTAATTCATCCCCCATAGTAATTAATCCCCCATATAGTAATTCATCCCCCATAGTAATTAATCCCCCATATAGTAATTCATCCCCCATATAGTAATTCATCCCCCATAGTAATTCATCCCCCATATAGTAATTCATCCCCCATAGTGTAATTCATCCCCCATAGTGTAATTCATCCCCCATAGTAATTCATCCCCCATAGTAATTCATCCCCCATATAGTAATTCATCCCCCATATAGTAATTCATCCTCCATATAGTAATTCATCCCCCATAGTAATTCATCCCCCATATAGTAATTCATCCCCCATAGCAATTCATCCCCCGTATAGTATTTCATCCCTCGTATAGTATTTCATCCCCCGTATAGTATTTCATCCCCCGTATAGTATTTCATCCCCCATATAGTATTTCATCCCCCATATAGTATTTCATCCCTCATATAGTATTTCATCCCCCATATAGTAATTCATCCCTCATATAGTATTTCATCCCTCATATAGTATTTCATCCCCCCATATAGTATTTCATCCCTCATATAGTATTTCATCCCCCCATATAGTATTTCATCCCTCATATAGTATTTCATCCCTCATATAGTAATTCATCCCTCATATAGTATTTCATCCCCCCATATAGTAATTCATCCCTCATATAGTATTTCATCCCCCCATATAGTATTTCATCCCCCCATATAGTATTTCATCCCTCATATAGTAATTCATCCCTCATATAGTATTTCATCCCCCCATATAGTATTTCATCCCCCCATATAGTATTTCATCCCCCCATATAGTATTTCATCCCTCATATAGTAATTCATCCCTCATATAGTATTTCATCCCTCATATAGTATTTCATCCCCCATATAGTATTTCATCCCCCCATATAGTATTTCATCCCCTCATATAGTATTTCATCCCTCATATAGTATTTCATCCCCCCATATAGTATTTCATCCCTCATACAGTAATTCATCCCTCATATAGTAATTCATCCCCCATATAGTATTTCATCCCTCATATAGTATTTCATCCCCCCATATAGTATTTCATCCCTCATATAGTAATTCATCCCCCCATATAGTATTTCATCCCCCCATATAGTATTTCATCCCCCCATATAGTATTTCATCCCTCATATAGTAATTCATCCCTGATATAGTAATTCATCCCCCATATAGTATTTCATCCCCCCATATAGTATTTCATCCCTCATAAAGTAATTCATCCCTCATATAGTATTTCATCCCCCACAGTACTATTCCCCCCCCCCCCTTCTAGTAAGCCAAGTCCCCCGTGTCAATTCACTTACCTTTTGCGTTCCTCTCGCTGTCTTCCCGCGCCGTTCGGGTCTTCAGGGCGGACTGTGAGAGGAGCCTAGCTCCCCTCCCCTCACGTTCGGCACGCTGCCCCGCCTACACACATCCTGACAGCCACATCCGCAAGCCGGATTAAAAGGTCCGCGCGGACTTTTGGGGCTGCCAACCGAGAGGAGGCAGGGGAGCGGCCGACCGAGAGGAGGGAGGGGAGCAGGCGCCCGGCACACAGAAGAGCCGCATTAGACTGGGTAAAGAGCCGCATGTGGCTCGCGAGCCGCGGCTTGCCGACCACTGAATCATTAGATTCTAATGATTGGTCTATTTGTGAGCCGAAGCCACATGTTACAGATGAAATTGGAATTTTTCCCACGGCACACCAGACAATATCTCACGGCACACTAGTGTGCCGCGGCACAGTGGTTGAAAAACGCTGCTCTAGGCTTTCAATAATTTCATCTGAACTTCCATTCAATCCTATAGAGCGTTCTGAGTTTCATCTTGTACTCTGGTTTAAGTCTTTATAGGTTTAAATCAGAGTGCAGAGCCATGAGCAGACCTGATAGGACATTGACAAGCACCTGTGCAAAGAGCATAGCCAATATCTCAATGGATCTAGACAAGGGGAGTATGTTCTTACCCTAGGTTCACACCCAAGCGTTTTCTGCAGCGTTTTGCAGAAACACGCTACAGTCCATTTAACATGATTTCCTATGGGACTCGTTCACATCCCTGTTTTCACCCAGTACGTTTTTTGGAAAGGGTCAGGGACTTTTTTTAAAAAGTTTTTGGTTCTATAGACTTCAATGGAAACGATACAGAAAAGCATGTAGTGCGTTTTTGCAGCTTCTTTGATGCTTTTTTTATGCATTTTGCATTTTAATCTGCCCAGCAACAAGAAAAAAAAAAAACGCATCTAAAAAGCATGTGCGAAAACCGCAAAATGCACCACAAAAAGCACTGTAGAAACAAATCAAAGCAAGCTGCATAGGCATGAATCTAGCCTTGGACATGTCAGCGCTCGAGAACTCCCGCAGTATATCCCTCTATGCAATACAGGATGTCGCTTAGTCGCCTGTTGAGCTTGTATTAGTTGTATTTGCTAGCAGTAGTGATAGGTGTATGTATATTAAAGTGAATCCGTAGTTCCTATAGGACAGTTAGGCCACCCATTACCTTTGGCAGCCAACAGAAATGGTCAGGATAGAGTACAGAAGATATGGTTCATACTTGCATTAAAGGGTAGCCTAGGATTTGGGAGCAAGTAGGTACCTACAAGTAGATGAAAGGTGATTCTACTAGTTCGCTTTATGTTTATAAAGCATTGCCATCTTCCTTTGCTTTTTGAAGATTGAAAAGGTTTAAAGAAGCATTTTGTGAGGAACTTTCGAGACATACAATATATGTGTAAAACAATTCTGCTAATAGTGTGCTCCATTCACTAAAGCAGATCACATGCAGTATTTAGGTGTCTGGACACATTTTCTCTAAATGTCGCATGAGATCCTGTAATTGTCAATTCACTATGCTGTTTTGTGGCATTTACCACAAAATGTTCAGTAAATACTGCATTATACAAATAAATAAATAGATAATTGCATGCGGTAATAAGTAATGGTCAAGGCCTTCATAGTTAGGGAATGTGCATGATTTTAACAGGTTGTTAAGCAGCTGGCAGCCACCAGCATCCTTCACAGCTAGTAACTGCCATGGTTGTTAAGGAGCAGGCGGCCTCCACCTCCCAAACAACCATGACTCACCTGCTGTCAGTGGGGTTCCCTGATGACAGGAGAATGTAAAACAAAAGAATTGCTGGCATTTAAAAAAAACAAAAACAAAAAAAAAAAACAAAAAAAAAAAAAAAAAAAAACAGCCCTTCAGATCTGGTATGGATTTTAAGGTGAACCCCATGCCAAAATTGAAAATAAAAACAATGGCAAAATTCAAAAAAAGAAAGACCTTATCTGAACATGCAGCCCTGGCCCGGCATGTTCCGTCATTGATGACATAAGGGGGCAGGATCACCCTGTAACATCACTGGGTGGCCTCACTTCTTAGTTCATTTAGCGGCAGAGCTGTCAAACGGTGGGAGCCAGTGTCAGGTGTGACCTCTTTTTTTTTTTTTTGTTTAGGTTATTTTTATTATAAATGAAAGACTTATCTAACGACTCTGTGTCTTCACTCACTTTTGACAATTTTTTGGTGAATCAGTAGGAGTAAGACCCCCCCCACCACACCCCCCACAACCACCACCCAGGGTTGTGGGAAAGAGACCCTTGTCCCCATCAGCATGCAGACAAGGTTCTTTAGGGTGGGCGGCACCCCCTCCCCCCCATGTTGGAGGAGCTCTTATCTGACCTTCTGGTCTGCTTGCTCAGATAAGGGCTTGGTATGGATTGCGGGAAAGACCCTCATGCTCTTTTTTTCCTTATTTTTAATTGCCAGAAAATCTTTTCTTTACATTCTGCTGTCAATGGGGAACCCTGCTGACACTGCTGACAGTAGATGAGTAATGGTTGCTAGGAACACGGCGGCCGTCCGCTGCTTAACAACCATGACAGTTACTGGTTGTTAAAGCAGAGCTCCAGCCTTTTTTGTGTTTACTACTACAAAAACTATAGCTGCTGACTTAACAGACACTTACCTGTCCCAGGATCCAGAGATCTGCTCATCCGAGCCGTCCCTCCGCTCAGTCCTCAGTTCCTGGCGCCAGCATCTCAACCGTCTGTGATAGTTTATGGCTTCAAAGCCTGGCAGGCGCAAGCTGCGCTGTGCATTGTAAATGGTCCCACAGTCATGTTTCCCAGAAGACTGCAGAGAGGGAAGGGGGGAGGATAATTTCTGCTTCCAATCGCCTAGGCGGTTGGAGTGGAAGTGGGAGCGGGTACCTGTCTAAATCAGGTACCAGCTACTCCCCACACCAAAAAAAGTTCCATTAGGGGAAATTAAGGGGGGGGGGGGGCGGGCTTTAAAGCGGAACTTCATCTTTTGGGTGAGCTTTAGAAGTGTTAAATTACTGCAAGTTTTCACTTCTAGAATACTGCATCACTTAAAATAGTGCATGCAGTGGTTTAGTAGAGTTTTTTTAGTGAATTAAAAATGTTTTTTTAAATCACGAAGCAGTATTTTTACAGCACTTCTTAAAGCGGTAGATACCGCTTTGTGAATGGAGCCCATAATCCTAAAAGTCACAGTTCTGCAATGACAGTTTGCTTTCTTCCCTGTGAGGTCCTTATTGCATGTCATTAGACAGTATTTTGAGTAATCACCTAACAAACACATCAGGCCCAACTTGGCTTTTTACATTTGCAGTATGTTTTCTCCAGTTACCTTGCCATAGAGAGATTTGTAAGCCTGAATGATTTGGATACGTTGCTGGTTACTTCTGGAGGTGATGAGATCCAAGATGGCTTGTTTATCGCTGCCTGCAAGAAGACAGATGAAGACACATGAATAAAGACTCTCAAATCAAATAAAAATTCCACCATCTTTCCTGGCAATCGTGCACACCTGAGGTCAGCATAAATACCGTATTTATCACATTTATTTGTAATAAATGTCTAATTATGTCAACACATAATCAGTTTCAGCCCCAATGGTTATAGTCATTGTTTCCCAAATTTTTATATCATGCAGTGTATCACAATACAAAAATATATTTACATGAGACCCTGTACATTCTAGGAGCAAATTGGTCAGAAGCCACTTGCGCCACCAGTATGTTTCTGAGTTATGGGAGGAAATAGAAACATTTTCAGGAAAGATCCAATTATGGAACAGACATACAGGTTACATACAAATGAATGATTCTCCTAGGGAAGCTAGTTGATTATTTTTTAGTTAGAGGCTGAATAGCAGCCTTGTGGAATAGTCAGAGGGGATAACATTTTGGCCATGGCTGAGAGGCTCTGCAAACCGGATCTCTGGAACTCACCCCCCCCCCCAGAGACTAGGAGAAGTCTCTAAATTCCAGTGGGAGGGGGTGAGGAAGAGCTGGTCTGCACTTTTCAGGGATCCTGGTCAATCCCCAAGCAGGAGGCTTGGCATGGGGTCAGGACAGCCCTTAAGAGTGACAGAGCCTGCTCAGCAGTAGAGTTTGGGTGGAAGATGGAGTGAGCAGGATGATGTGTCTGGGAAGGGGTTCATGAGAGGGGCCTGCCTACAGGTGGAGTAGCTGGAAGGGAGGGTCTCTAAGCCTCATCATCCCCTGAGAGAGGACAGCCTGGAAGCAGGGAAAGAGGCAGCCCAATGTAAGGCCTGAAGGCAGCCACCAACCCACAAGCTTGCAGGAGAGACTGAATGAGTAACCCCACACACCCCCTGGCCGGATAAGAGGAAAGGGCATTCAGGTGGGAAACCTGACTAGCCCCCATCTGGGACTGCTTTCATTTAAAGTGACAGCTTCTGAGACTTCTTGGCCAAGAATTTCCTCAGGAAGCTGGGTGAAGAAGAGATTTTATCTGGGGTCTGATGTGGTATACAAGGGGAGGCTAGATAACTCTCCAAGAAGAGATAACCCTTCTGACTACTTGTACATAGTTCTAGGAAGTTGTCCTCAGTTTTACAATTCCTTGGGCATCCCTCATCCCCACCCAAGTTTAATCCCCTAATAAAATCCAAAAAACAAGTTCAAGGATGGTTTACGGTCTCCTGTGTGAAAGGTGTGAAGGAAATGCGTGTTGCCTGGCTGTGCAGGACTATACGGGGACCCCTAAGGGAGTAGTACTATACGATATATGCATTCCTACTGTTTGCACTCACAGAAATTGATTTTGTATAATGTTCAAGATGAATACACATACAGATTTGAACTTTTCTGACTTAATGAACCTTAAAACGTTCTGCCCTGATTTACAGGCAGTTATAAGGGGTTTCTATGGTGCACTGGAAGTTAACATAACACAAAACAGATTTACTTTCATTCACAGACCTAAGCTGCTCATATTAGCTTTAATTGTAGTTAGAGGTCTGCTCATAGACCGCAGAACACAAAGCTGCCTTTATTTCACCCTCACTCACTATTTAACCCTTTACTCTTACAGCTGCTGCAGTTCTTGCCCATAGAATTAATACGACTCTACTGTCCCACAGCAAGCATTCAGATTCCAGATACATCATTCTTTTAGTATCTTGAAGCAGAAAATTTGTGTGAAAATGTACCATTTGTCTAAGCACCCATGCAAAAGGGATTTTCCTTACTTTACTTCTAGAGCTAAACTCCAGATAGAAACTAGAGTGTTACATTTCTATAAAGGTGAACTAACAGACGGTACCGTCCCCTCCCCATGGTCCCCGCTGTACATACATCTACGGTTGCCTAGCAATCAGCAACCCCGCAGCCCGCTCCAGTAGTTCAGGTTTGTGAAATCTCCACTCTTCTTCCTCGTCTCCATCAGTGCTTCACATTGATGGAGCTGGCCAATCAGAATCCATCTGTTCTGTCCTGGAAGCGCTGATGGAGAAGAGCAGGGATTTCATATCCCCAGACTGCTGGATTGGTTACGCTTTAACGCAGCCCTGTATTCAATACATCCTGAAATTTATTTGGACAAATTCAGGCTGGGGAATGTGACAGTGGACTTGGTATCAGCCTATTGCAGTCCCTGTACAGCAGAGCTCAAACTGAAAGAGAGGCAACACAAGCACAGAAAATTATCTCTCATAGTTAAATCTGAATCAGATTGAGCAAGCAAGGCTGCTTCAAAGTGGATATTCTGATCTATACTGTGTTATGGGCTCTTCAGGGGCAGCACAGTGGCTAAATGGTTAGCACTTCAGCCTGGTAGTACTAGGGTCGCTGGTTCAAATTGCAAACACAGCACCAACTGCCTGGAGTTTGCATGTTCTCCCTGTGCGGGTTTCCACCAGGTACTCCAGTTTCCCCTCACACTCCAAAGACATGCTGGTAGGTGAAATGGATCTTGTTTAAATTGGCCATAGTATGTATATGTATGAATGTAAGTTAGGGACCTTAGATTGTACACCCTTTGAGGGTTTGGGACTGATATGAATGTACAATATATATGTAAAGTGCTACGTAAATTGACAGCACTATTTATATAGTGCTATATCAGAATATTATTTTATTTATAGTACTTATGTACCATAAATAAAATAATATTCTGATCTGGCAGCACCAGGACTCCTCTGGTTCATTACCATACACACTTATGGATAGATACAGTCTGTTATCAAAATGTACCATGAATAGCCACTTACAGATACAGTAAATGACATCATTCAGCACCATTAGTAACAAGATGATTATTACTCTCATTATAGTACCATTATTTTTTTTTACTATTACGTTATTATTTTTCACTCACCAAACCCCTTCATGGCTTTATAGAGGGTTTCAGCATCTTGGCTGGCATCAAAGTCAAGGTAATCCTTTACAGATCCTCTATAACGGCCAACCTGCAACCAAAAGAAACACAAGTTGAATGAGTGGGATGATGAATTCAAATTCTAGCACTGTGTTCATTTATGTAGCACTGACATTGCTATACTCTGCACCTTACCAATGCCCCATACACACTGTAAGAAAATCAGATGAACAGATTCTTACGATGAACAATCATGCAATTTTCTGATGGTGTGTACATAATTTTCGACAGCCGATTCAGACCTTCTGAATGAAAATAATGCCATGTACACACTATAAGAAAACGGACAAACATGTTCAGTACTGAACAGGGGCGGACTGACCATTCGAGCACTTGGGCACTGCCTGAGGGCCCAGGGTCAGTAGGGGGCCCCATGAAATGCCCCTGGTACCTTTTTTATAGGCTTTTTTGAGTGTGGGCAAGGACACAGGGGCCCCATGATCCCCTATGGCCTAGGGGCCCCATGAGTTGTCAGTCCGCCCCTGGTACTGAACAATCCACATCGGTCAGGAGCTGACAATCACTCACCCCTTCTAGTACAGTCATGTATGTAATAAGGTCATATTGGAAAGAAGTTATGTGGCTTAGCAGTATGTTTTTAGATTATAGGAGGAAAAAATCACCAATACAGGAATTTGATAAAGACATGACCTGATTTAGTTGTGCGTCTATTTGATTTCCACCTCCTTACAGACCAATGGGTCCAGTGCTGAGGCAAGGTCATCTAGCATTCTTCCCCCCCCCCCCCCCCTAAAATGTATGAGCATTATGTGTCAGCAAAAATCTACTTCCTCCCCCCCAAAAAAAATTCAAGCACCATGGGGGGGGGGCTATAGAGGGCTATAATATCACAGCGTTGGGGCCTCGAACTAGAGACGCCACTGGCTGTCAGATTGCCACTGTGCTGTGTTTGCTTATCTACCCTCTACCCACATTCTTTTCTTGGAGGAGATGGGGGAGGGTAAACAAACACTGCAAAGTGGTGATCTGGCCTCCTGATCCAGGAGAGCTGCAATGGCAGAAGGAAGAGATGGATGGGAGAGAGAGCATGACCCATCCCTCCTCCCAGCTCCCTCTTCCTCTCCAGAGCTGACTTCTCTCCTCCAGAGCTGAGTTGACAGGAGTAGTGAAGATTTATTTATTTATTTCAGGTACTTATATAGTGCCATCAATTTATGCAGTGCTTTACACAAATATATTGTACATTCACATCAGTCCCTAAAGCAGGCCATAGACGTGGGGACAATCGGACTTTTTTTTTTTTTTTTTTTTTAAAGTCGTAAATCGGTTGTTCAAACAGCCGACGTTGCCACTAATTAAAAAAAAAGTCAGCAGGTTTTAGTCCCGTCTACGGTCATCAATTAATATAATTGCGGTGTCCCTGCATAGAGACCCGCTATTATATTTGACAGAAGAAATAGATTATGCAGAAGAAGAGAAACAACATTGTATCTATTTGTACTTGAATAGAAACATCTGTATCCCAAATGCATACAAATAGATACAATGTTGCAACTTTTTTTCTTCTCAGTCTTCTTCTGCAAAATCTATTTCATCTTCTCCTCTTTTCTTCTATCCTTCTTGATATTCTATTTCTCTTCTCCTGCAAAATCTATTTCTTCTATTTCTTTATAGTCAATTTGTCAAATCGGCCAGAAGAACGGCCAATTTGACCATAAATTACCGCGAAAATCGGCCAATCTAACAAATCGTCCCAGGATTTTCCAGCTTGGACGATTTTCAAAATCTCTTAAAATTAAGAAAAACGGCCAACATTTTTCCCCACTAATGGTACGAATATCTTTTGGCAAGAAAATTGGAAATCTATGGCCGCCTTAACCCTCAAGGGGCGTACAATCTAAAGTCCCTAACTTACATTCATACATACACATATTAGGGGGCCAATTTACACAGAAGATGCTGTCAGCTTGTAGGTAGGAACTCTCCATGTGGTACCCCCCCCACCTCACATGATACCACCTGCCCACCCAGCCCTGAATGGGACTATGGAATGTGTACTTGTAAAACTTGGAGGTATTTATTAGGTCTATTGGAGATCGCAGTATTCCCCTTGCCTTTATCTTGTTCTCTATCCAGAAGGACAAATCTATTGCTGCTCAAGCATTATTAGCTCCCTTGTCACCTCTTCCCATGCTCACCTGCACGACTTCTCCAGAGTCTGTCTCATCCTCTGGAACTCTCTACCCAGTCTCTTTGGCTGTCCCCTACTCTAACCGTCTTTGGCAATGCCTGAAAGCCCATCTCTTCAGGAAAGCTTATCCCAACTCTACATACAAACTGAACTTGCTCCATCATCTCATCCCCTCACAGCTATTATCTTTTTCATCTCTTGCCTCTCCTTTTTTAGCTTCATGTATAAGGGTGTACTATAGAGTACTCCCATGCAAGAACCGGGTTTTCCTTCACTGGGAGGCACAGGTGTTTATATAGCTCCAACAGTTTGCTGAGTGCTTTTATAAAATAATGGTAGATAGTACAAACAAGAGAGCGTACAATCTAAACCAGGGGTCTCCAAACGTTTCAAACAAAGGGCTGGTTTATGGTCCTTCAGACATTAAGAGGGCCGGAGTGTGGCCATTGGGGGTAGAAAATGTTTTGGGCCCAGCATCAGTGAGAATAAACATGGCCTCAGGGATGGTGGTCAGTAGGAGGAAGAATAGTGCCCATCATTGGTATTATTGGGAGGAATAGTACCACATAAGTGTTATCAGTGGAATAAATAGTTCCCCATTGTTGGTGCCAGTGGGAGGAATACTGCTTCATATCATTGATAGGAATAGTGCCCCAAGGGCCGGATAAAGACTAGCAAAGGGCCACATTTGGTTTGGAGACCCCTGATCTAAACAATGCTATAGAACTGTCTCAGGCCTTGTTCACATAGGCGTACTATAGCGTATGTCTGTGCAAGGGCCATGTTTGCCCTGAGTGGGATGCAGAGGTGTTCCATACATCCCTGGCAGGCAGTCCAATTTGACAGCCGTAGGAGTGCAGGTGTGTGTCCTCGAATGTAGACAGTGTGCATTCAGAGCCACGCACTGCCACAGCTGTGAGATCGGGAGCAGTGGTTGTGTCTGTGCAGTCACGGAGTACCAATAGAAATGAATGGGACTGCCTGCCAGGGATGTATGGAACACCTGTGCATCCCATGCAGGGCAAACATGACCCTTACACAGACATATGCTATAGTACACCCATGTGAATGAGGCCTGGGACAGCAAGTTCTACTGCATTGTTTAGATTGTACGCTCCCTTGCTTGTACTGTGTACCATTAATTTGTAAAAGCACTCAGCAAAATGTTGGAGCTATATAAATCTTGTATAATAATATTAATAGATCAAGTTAATAATTCAGAGTTAGCTTCTGCTTTGGAGACTGGGAATCTGAGCCTAAAATAACACGATTATGTAAATTCTGGTGTCTGTGTAGTGTTTACATGTCTAACACAATTTAGCCCCCTACTGCTGCTTCACACCTTTTGACTTGCCACAAAGTTACAATGTACAGTTTGAGTGATTACTGCCGAGAGGAGACTGATGAACTGCTTCCTTCTAGATGCAACAAACTGACATCATCGCAGCTTAGGCCAAGACACTTGAGTAGAGCTAAAAGGAGTGCTTTTTAAATGATAAAAGGTGCCATTTTCTTCTAAAAAGAAATGATACAATTGCTATATATTGTAACATCAGAATTTTTTGCATGAAGACTACTGAGCTAATGAGAGATCTGCAGTAACATAAAATTATGTGGTATTGTTAGACCCTTGACTCTGTATTTGTAGATTACACACAGATAGATAGATATATATATATACTCTTTAGTTAAACCCAGTATATATGTACCGTGTACATCCAGTAGAGGGCGTTTATACGGAATCTGCCACGTGTTAGCACATTTTACAGTTCTTTATACAAAGAACGAAGCAATGGTGTGTGGAAAATAGAAAAATGCTCACTTTACTATGTGAATACTTGCTGATGTTTTGATTATACTACTGAGTTTGCTTTGAAACTAAACAGTAAACGGTGTATTACATGATATGATAATATTCTATGCTTTGCTATGTTCATATGTTCTGCTTTTTCTTTCTAAATAAAAGCCAATTGTTTAAACAACAAAAAAAAAAAAGAAAAGAAAAATGCTGAACCTGATTTAGGCGTCATGTACACTAGCATTTTTTAAGCCCCTAGAAGCTATTATGAGCTCCTAAAAGCTAATAGTGTTATCTATGTGTCAAAGCACACTATTATATGCTAGAAGTGTTTTTTAAGCGTCAGCGTTTCGAAGCAGAAAAAAGTAGTTTTTGTATAGTTTTTGGGAGTGTTTTCTTGGCAGAAAAAAAAACACTGACCTTTACTAACCACTCCAAAATGCTTCTAATGCTTGGGCTTATAAAAAATGCTAGTGTGCATGGAGCCTTATAGAAGATCAAAATATTCATGCTTTGTTCACAGAAATATACTGAATATGAATAAATCATAAATTAGACCTAGGGAGAGCAAGATGACCTGTTCAGATTTCTAGTTCCTGTGACCCAGCCATGGCTTGACAAGAAACTGCAAGTGCCATCAGTATTACTGGCATGTCTGCAGTATCCGATTACCTTTTCCCGTAACTCCACAACGCATGAGCCTGGCGTTACAACTGCAATCCCGGATCATCTTTACTAGGCTGATAACTCATTGTTGTCCACAATAGCTGCATGAGCCTTATCCAGGAATTCATATATTACAGAAAAGAGTACTTTGCTGTTACAGAGTGGAGGTCATTCAGCAATATATAGTCCATGGGAATGCTGTCTAGATAAAAGACAACATTTTTTTTGTTCCCTTTCCATAGTTTTTTCTTTCCATTTCCCATGCCTATTGAAAGGACAAGTTTGGGCTACATAAAAAAAACAAAAAAAACATACATTCTCACTTCTGTGCTGCAGCACCGATCCTGGCATCTGCCAAGGAGAATCTGTGATTCTTGCCAGTGGAGAAACTAGCCCATGTGAACAGACCAAGCCAGC